ATGTTTACAATTTTGTTCAGTATGCATTGGTCAAGTCACAGGTGTAGTTATTTGTAAAGGGACATAATGAGTAAGACACCACGAGTTTTGAAACAGTTTACGCATTAGTGTCATGGCTTTTTTGTCTTGATCAACACGAAAACAGTTCACAATGCCAACATATGAACTCAGTGTTTCTCATCCAGATTTGGGTTAACGTATTTGCATCAGCTGAAACAACACAACTTGCTTTTAGACACTAAAGCCCCAAGAGAAGAAAGTAGGGAGAATTACAATCCACAGCACTTCGAACTACAGTTACAGTAATTGGTGTTAATTTATTCTAATGCGGGCGGGGATGAAACCATGAAACATATCCTCTCTATCTGTCTCCGTGTACACACAATGGCTTTCATGTTGCCGCTCACTCGAATCACACTGATTTTGTGTGGGCCTATGCATCAGTGGTTGCTGCCGATCCCGGCAACGTTCGGTAGTACACACACAACAATCCTTGCAATCTGCTGATCTGTGGCCTTTTCTAAGTCAGGAAAAGAACACAGACCATTTTCTCTCCCTTACGCCCACCTATCGTTGACTGCTATTGTGGCGAAAATATGGAAACATTTATCAATCGTGTGATTTTATCCGTATATAAGACAAGGTGACTTGCTAACGATTTTACCGACTGACAACCCAGAGTGTTCAACAGGCTACCTTGCATACAACCTGTTTATTAGTTGTTGCAGTCTGCCAGAACCTGCTGAGTAAAATTATTGCTCTAGTTGATACACATTCTGTTAACTCTGCAAAAGTAGGCTCTCATCCATTTGCTGTTACCTTTCCGACTGTTTCAGCCCATTTCGTCTGTCACGCTATGGGCAACCTCTTTATTATGCTTTCTATTGTTCCTACTAAGTTGAGATCCGTTGAATAACCCATTTGTTCTAAGGCTACATAACACTTTTCCATTTTTATTGCTAACCTAGACAGAATTTCTCCGTTGTTGTGCTCTATATTGGAACCTTCAGTCAAATCACTTAGCAAAGCCCGGCTTCATGTATTCTACCAAATAACCGTTTCAGTATATCACATGCTCTACGATAGCCCTATGATGGTGGAAACATAATGCATTCTTCTATAGCCTCTCGAGTATTTCCTTTGCAATCGTGTAACATGAGTCGTCGACCATCATCTTCGACCTTGAATACCACATGTAGCTCGATCTGTCTGATAAATTTCCAGTATTTTGCTGGTTGCCCATCAAAAATACTCAATTCTACCTGTGGCAGCTCAAGACCCACACTAGGAGATAACAAGGTCACTTCCCTCTTCTTTGATTCTGGATAGTCTAACAATTTTGACTTTTCTGGAGACTTGATTCTAAGGTCATGAGAACGGCGTACAAAACTGTGAACATAATGCTGTCCGCTACCATCACAACTGGAGGCAGAAGATGCTTTACTACGCATGTTCTCTTTCAGCCCAAACGACCCAAACTATTTCTGAAGGCACACTAGTTGTTCCCTCTGTCTATCTTTCAAGTCTCTAATTTCTAATAATTGCCTTTCCCTTAAGTGTCTTTTTTAACTCTGCTAAGGTGATTCTGGAGCTTATTTTGCCGTGTGGACTTACCAAACTAACATCAGAACCGTAACATGAAAATGCATCTGAAAGAGCTTGGAGTACATCTGAAGGTGCATCTGATTGCATTTCTTCTTGGCCCAACACCAGGCTTTCATGGATCTTATTGCGCATGCCAGGCATTCCAGAGTTTGTCACTTGTGATTACTGATGTTTGAAAACTGTCACGACCGAAATGCCAATATTCGGTTTAAAAGCAGAACTAACGATCCTTTGTTTATTCAATTAAACCAGACTACGTTCTTCTGTATAGCGTACGAAGCGTTTTCGAAATACTCGTATTAAATTACATCAAAACGCAAAATCTGCGCTCAATTTAAACGATTCTAATATGGAAAATAGAACAAACTACATCAAAAATACAAAATTCCTCAAACGGTACATGCTATGCTTTACAATCAGAAGTTTCTCTTTCACAAATTAGCGTGCTAAGCAACAAACGAAACAGTTAATACAAAAGATTTCACTACCTGAGAATCAATAATAATATCCCTAACAATAAGGGATCGGATATCTATCTACAGGGTATCCAGCAATCCTCCCAAGTAGACAGTCAAAGGTTAATAGTCACACACTGAGTCACGCCGTGACCCTGAGCTTAGTCGAACACGACCTTACTGTCAATGGTCCTGCAACATGCAATAGAAAATCAGGTAGCTAAAAGGTAGTCTTTAATCAGAGTCACATAATGGAAGCTCAGACGAGGAAGACTGAAGAACATAAACTGTGGTCAAAAGAGATCTGAACAAAGGTTAAAATACACGACAGGAAGAAAAAACAAATAAATGACAGTACAGCCCAACGAAAATGCTCTGGAGGGACTTTCTGCGTTAATTAACTCATTAACCTATTTCTATATTCTCTATTATCATCTATTTGTTTTTATTTCCTTAAACGTATACCTTTTCACATTGTGTGCATTACCATAATCATTTTATCGGCCTATTTATTTTTTTGTTCTTTCTTCAGATACTGGTCCAATCTGCGCATTCTAATTTTTGCTTTACAATTTTTCTAATGGCAACCAACCAACCTCCTGCTTGGTTATATGATAGCCGCTGGTATCCAGTAACCTTACTCCCCTGATACAAACTCACTGACTGGAATTACAAAATTCATAAATCAGCAAATAATTTTCAACCTGTTTAGAATTAATTCACTACAGCGGTTAGACAACCACCCATTGGACATTACCTAATTACAGGAACTGTACAGAAACAGCAAGACGCTAGAGCAAAGAAATCAATCTGTTCGCTCTAGGTCGCCGTAAGTATACTGGGTTGGCAATAAAAGTTGTTAAATTAAGTACATTTAAATCAATCGGAATTCCAGAAGTATCACATCCCTTTACTAGCTCACGGATGTACTTAAAGGTGAGTTTAGTTTAGTCACGTCCTCGTTCATACCATACCTGGTACCGCGAAGACCGAATAACAGTCCACTATGGATAACTGAAACAGTCAGGCAACTCCTGAGAAGGAAGAAACATTGAAATATGTTCATCTCTACTGGATTAAAACAATACAGATCCAGTAATTGTAAGATTAGGAATGCCTGTAAATCGTTGATAAGTAAGACTAGGCGATCATATGAAAACAATTGGTTAGGGATTTTAGATATAATCCGAAACGGTTATTCTCGTATTTAAAAAGGTGAACTCAGAGGAACGATGGAATTCCATCACTTCTGATGCAAGAAAATCCGTTAATCTTGGCAGAAAATGATACCGAAAAAGCTGAAGGTCTATCGGAATATTTCAGTAAAGTGTTTTCTATCGGTAATGAGGAACGACCAACGATTAATTGTGATCGCGGCGGCTCGCTGATGGACCCTGTAGTCATTGAGAAAGGTACTGTTTTAAGGCTACTTCGGCATCTCAAACCTGAAAAGCCCAGTGATCCTAATGATATTCATCCTAGGATTATGAAAACCATATCAGATGTAATTGCTGAACCATCTGATATGTCTCCAAGGCAGTCCAGACGTCCAAGAGACTAGAAAAACGCAATAATATGTCAGATATATATAAGGCTGGGAGTAGGGATTTAGTTAGTAACTATAGACCCGTTAGCTTAACTAGTGCAGTTGTAAAAGTGATGGCAAAAATCATTCGGATATCTGTTATAAACTATGTTGAAGGGCATAACCTATTCTCCAGGGAACAAAATGGTTTTCGGAGAGGCCTATCATGCTTGACAAATCTCATTGCGAGAGAAGGTTGGACTGCTGAAAGAAATCAGAATATTCCCGTGGATGTGATCTTTCTAGACCTAAGTAAGGCCTTCGATAAGGTCTTCCACTCTGGTCTTAAATTCAAACTGGAACGTTTTGGAATCCATTATACAGTCTTAGATTGGATAAGTAACTTTCTCCATGAGATGAGACAAAGGGTAAGGGTAAATATGGCATTCTCCTCGTGGGTACCTGTAAAAAGTGGAGTTCTTTAAGGTTAGATCCTCGGTCCTCTTCTCTTTTTCCTTTATGCAAATGAATTACCAACTGTAGCAAAACCATCCAATCTACTCTTCGCTGATGAGATAAAAATTTAGAGACCCAAACACAGTATGTCGGATAGAATAGTATTACAGGATGATCTTAGCTCATTAGTGACATGGCTGGACAGGTGGTCAGTAAAAGTAAATCCTAATAAGAGTGTGATGATGCAATTAAATAACTATGATGAATCGTATCACTATACAATATGTGGATTCGTGCTACACAAAGTAAGGAACTATAAAGATTTAGGAGTCATATTAAGCAGTGATCTCAAAACCCCTATTCACTGTAAGGCTGCTGCTGCGAAAGGCTGTGGGGTATTATGGTCTGTTCGTAGGTCTTTCCAGTATTTAGATGATGAAGTGTTTGGATTATTATACCCCATTTATGTGTGACCATATTTAGAACATGGGATTCAAGCAGCGAGTCCTTGTTTCAAGTATGAAGCAGATGTTCTGGGACGACGAGTTACCAAGATAGTGAGGATGCCACAGGCTTTCGGAATTTTACAACGCTTTAATCAATGACACCCACCAAGTGAAATCAAAAGACAGAAGAGGATCGTCTGATCTAATCTGGCTAACAATTACAGGGACTGTTGAGCACGGCGTTCCCACTAGTGATCTGGTGCGGATGCATGACCGAGTTCCTTCAGCTAGGTGAGTCCATTAAAACTAATGTGGTCAGCATCCAATGTCGAAACCTTACGGAGCTATTTATTTTGGGGATTTATTTACCGCTACAATGGTACAAGGTCTATCTGGCCTATCTTATGAAGACAGAGTGAGACACCTTAACTTATTTCCGTCATCTTATGGTAGAGTACGGGGTGGTCTAATATTGGCTTATCGTATACTGAACGATGACCTTGGTATTAACATGTCTTATCTTCTACTTCCGTCTAGGGCTGATCATTTGAGAGGACATTCGGATAAAGTTCAAAAACCGAGATCAAATCGTTTACGTCCGGAGTTTCGTTTCTCGCACCGAGCAGGGAATTACTGGAATTCTCTACCGGAACACGTAATATCAGCACCTTTTGTTACTATATTCAAGACGAGATTGGACCTACACAGCATTACAAACTGCAAGGATTAATATAGGTCGATAGACCTCCTATCCTTATTACTGAAGATCTGATTAGTTGCTGCGACGAGTGGCAGAGATATCTGAAGTAGTTCTGTGAAGAACAAACTGATTATGTGTAAGACCATTTTGGAAAGAGTCGTATTTACCCAGGGCGCGAAGTTTGGTTTTTGTTCTCCCTTCCCTCTTATTAACTAAGTACGGCATGTATGATGTTTTTTTAGATCTTTCCTATACTCCAATTAACGCTGATTACACGTGTTACATTTCATTTTGTGAATTCGACATGTTCAGGTTGCATCTTATCGTTTTTTAATATGTCTAAAAGTGAAGAACGTTTATTACTGAAAAGCATCTGTGGGGAAGTTGTTAAAGATACGTTTCTTGAGGCAAAAGACTCTTATGGAAACTGGTACCCTGTGAAGGTCCTCAAAGTTGATAAAAGTAGAGTAAGTCAATAATGTAATCAGTATGTTGCATGTTAGCACAAACGGGTGTCAAGAAACTCTTGAGTGTTTAAAATCTTTCTTGATGTGTGGTCTATTTAGCGTGTTAACTGGCTTCTGCAAACAAATGTCAGCCTTTTCTGTAGTCAATACTGTCCATACGGATTTATTCTGTTTCTGGCTTCACCGAAAAATAGATTGATCACGAAGAGCCTGTACATTACTCTCTTAGGTTCCAGTTTATAGCTTTAACAACAAATATACTTGCCTGCCATGCAAAAACATGCCTCGTCACCCAGAGTTCCCGGTTTTAATGTTTTTGTGTACCATATTTCCTATTTATCTATCAACTTTAAAACAGGAATTCAATAACACCGGATTTAATGAAGCGTGTTTCGGCATGTCATGCTATGTGTTTAGGTAAACTGACGGCTTTTACAACATTAGATCTGTCAGACTTTTAATCAAATATATATGGATTTCTGGGATACTAAATACTTCCATCTTACCCATGACATGCATATTTATTGGCCCACTGTGTTACGATAATCCCTGCTTGTTCCAAACCTGTTCGAAACTTTAGACTAACTACAGTGTTTTGTTTTCACTTGCACTTTATTTACCAGCATATTGTTAATAAACTACATATTTATCTTCCACTAACCAATGTCGCAACTAATATCATTACAATTACTTTAATTACCTTAACTATTTGAGGTAGTTGGTCAGTGGTCTGGTGGTTAAAAATACACTTTACAAGTAATGTACAGGTTCTGTGTTTTGAGCAATTCTAAGAGCCAGTGATGCTACCCAGCTAACTAGACAGGACTAGGTTGGGCAGGGTTCGAAGTGACAACCTTGTGATTGAAATCTGAGTATTGTAATCACTAAACTAAGACTGTCGTCATAATTTACAGTTTGAGGTCCGCCCGCACAGGCAATATAGCTTAAAGCCAAGAAGATAAATATGCAATTAGTGAGATTTACTGCTCAGTATAAAAGCTCAATATACTACATTTGGCTGAAATCTTGTACTCTACATACAGAAAACTTCATTTACCATGTTCACTCTCTACTCTTTGTAACTGAAAATGAGTCCTCACTATGATCACTTTAACTTCACTTTTATTTTTAAAGCGAATGTCAAACAGGTGAATTCAGTAATGAGATTATTGGGGTGCTTTATATACCTTTATGGAAACCTATTTGTCTCCAGAGCGCGGATTAGTTCAAGTTCATAATCAAAGCAAACAACATTATTGAAATAGCTTTGCAGATAATTGATCAACATTCGATTGGTCTGTGGCTGGATATGTTCTCGTTCAGTTATAAGTTAGTCTCAACTGGCAGTATCTGTCATTGAAAGGTATACCTCAGAAGTACATAGACCTTGTGAAGGCTGTTTACTCGAACACTACTAATCGTGTCAGAGCTTATGGCGAACTGTTATCTGATTTTGCAACCTTAATTTGTGCCCATCAAGACTGTTCACCATCTCCATTTTTGTTCGACTTCATTATAGATATACTGATGGAAATAACGCTCTCGTCGACTGAGTTTTCGGACATTGATCTCCTTCCAGGAAGTCCACTTATCGACTTAGAATACGCAGATGATATAGTCCTGTTTGGTGAGAACACTGATAAAATACAGTCTTTTGGTGGTCTGAGCAACAATCTCAGGATGTTTGGAATGCGTTTCTCCACCTCTAAATGCACGTTGTCGCTTCAGAACTGGCCTGCGTCAACACTTGAACTAAAGATAGGAAGTGAAGTAGTCAAACGCGTTGACAACTTCACTTATCTTCGAAGTCTGGTCATCCCAAATGTATTGCTGTCTGACGAGATTTCAGCACGGATTCGAAAAGCTCGTTTGGCTTTTGTCAACTTACGTCATCTGTGGCGAAGGCGAGATATCTGTCTATCAATAAAAGAACGAGTATACTGCGCGGTAGTTCGTGCTGTTCTACTTTGTGGCTGTGAAACGTGACCATCAAGAGTAGAAGATGCTCATAAACTACTAGTATTTGACTACAGATGCCTTAGAAGTATAGCTCGCATCTGCTAGGATCACCGGGCAGGTAATAATGAAGTTAGACACAGGGTATTATGGATGGGCCACGTGGCACGCATGCCTGAACACCGATTACTGCGACACGCAATGCTGACTAGTGTTGGGGATGGTTGGAAGAAAGTTAGGGGAGGTCAAACCAAAACGTGGCATCAGTCTCTGAAGTCATTAGCTTCTGGTCTGAGCCATATTGGTAGGTGCACACAACTTGGTTGGGGTCCGCGCGACTATCGTAACAAATGGTTAGACTCTGGGTGACATAACTCAGGATCGATCACAATGGTGTAGGTGTATACACCCTTTGTCTTCCCTTAAACCGTGAGATTAAAATTGCCTTATACCTTTATTTCTACGAACTAATTCTTTCTTCCTATGTCCTTTTTTATATTACTACCATTGAAGTGACTACTATAAATTTGGTGTTTATCCTGTGCTAATGTGGTGTGGTAACTTGGACCATTGTATATATGTGCCTGGTCCTACGTTGTAGCTGATTGACATGAAGGCACGAAATATATATGCACTACATAAATGATTCAATTTATATGGGGGCTGGAATACTGTCCGGGTGCCCGAATCGAAGCAGGTGGTTTTCTTAGGAAGACACTCCTCGAGTATTTGAACTAAGCGTATAATCCACAAGGCAATGGAGCAACGGTAAGAGATGCAGTCTCATGGTACCTGGTGACCGAGAATGGGTTAATACATCAGTTGTTCTCTAACGATCCTGGACTCTATGTGCGTCATTGGTTTGGAATCAAGGTTTTCCAACTCCCCTAGGTAGATCCTCCGTATCAACCAACCTGGTTAAACCACCAAACATTCGCTTTTCGCCCTCTCAATTTCGTAAACGTCACTCTCCCTTCGAGAAGGCAGGATAGGACTTCCCTGACAGTGGCTGTATACACGTGGCCATGTGAGAGCATTTGGAGAGGGAGATTGGACTCTACCCACCCTCGACCGTGCCAGGACATTTGAGGGCACTAACTTCTAATCGGCGAGTTACTTTCTGCATCCAGCTCCTACTCGGGTTTAAGCGGACGTGTGGTATCTCTATCCTTCATACAATGTTATGGTTTGAAAGCAGATACGTAACTGCGTAATCGTTAAATGATTTACATAATTCGTTATTTGCAAAGAATGTCTTATTTTATTTCCAGGTTCATGTTCATTTTTGTGATTGGAGTTCACGCTATGACTCTTGGTATCCCATAAATTCAAAATGCTTACGCGCTGTGAAAAAAGACTTCACAAAGGATACTGCGAAACTGGCAAAACCCTACCCTTTTAACTGTTCGATGAACAAAAGTCCAGAAACCAGTGCTAGCCATTTTGACGTGGGTAGCTATGTAATGGCTGCATGGCGCAACGACTTCGAATATCTTGCTGAGGTTCTAGCCCATCGTCAGCGACACGGCACAAGAGCAGAGTATCGTTTGCGCTATATTTGGGATCGTGTTGTAGAGTGGACACCCGTCAACAAGTTACGCAAAGCAACTCAATATGAAATCGATTATGTTTTGAAATTTTGCAAAGAGCAAGGCTCACTATCTGCAAATAAAATCCCCAATAAATTTGATCTGCAACATTCGTGTAGTAGTAGTAGTAGTAGTGAGTATATATCAGGAATACCTCGAGCTAAAAGAATAAGAACAACTCTGTCAGAAAGCAGGTCAACAGACCGTGCCTTAGATTCTGAAATACCAAAGTATCGATCACGTCCTACTCGTGCAAGTACTAGCAGTTCATCTGTCTTAGAAGACAAGAAGATTCTTCACCCAACATTGTATGATGGGATTATCGAACAGGATGGAATGGTCTATGACAAGATTGTTTTTCAATTTCATGAGGCCTGTCGAAGACGCCGTGAATTGAAGAGGAAAGCTATCGAAGAGAATGAGATGTATCTATATGGATTCGATGGTTCTGTGTCTGTCTTAGGTCAAACATCCTCCGAAAGGTCAAATCACCAAACAAGACGTGATCCCAATTTACTGAACAGCCCTAAAAGTAGTTCTGTAAGAGCTGAAAATTATACAACAGAAAACACAGTTACGCCACCATTGGGATCGCCAATCTCATCCTCTCAGAAAAGTGACGAAATAGTAAGTATAATTTTTATCATCTAAAACCTATCAAATAATTTTTGTGGTCACAGTTTGCAGTGCCTATAATTTGTACTCTTAAGTGATATTCCCTAGTTGTACGGTCGATTACAGGGGTTAAATTAGCCGGACGATAGTTTTTGTAAATGTTGGTGATTGAATGAAGAAACCTTAGTAGCTGAAATAGATACTCCACAGAAATCACTTCATTGCCCTTTGACCTGATAGTTTGATTTGCGCAGCAAGTCAACAAAGTCAGGAAATGTATATTCATTGTTCCTGGTTACTTAAGCCTGTCCATATGTCATTATTTCCCTCACAATTTTGGGATCCGACCCAACGCCTTTAGGTACACTTAATATGTTCGCCATCCCATCCTGTGTTGGATGTCTTCCTAATCTTTTGTAAACTACCGGGAAGTAAAAGTTCTATGTTGTAAGACAAGCACCCAGTTATATGAGAGCTCAAGGAGGTTGACACCCACTTACTCTTTTCCTTGTCAGGATGACCTGTAATAACCAGTTCGTTATGTGAAGTAGCATCTTAGATCTCTTTACTTGTAATAGTTGTCTGTATCTACATAGTGTTGCTTACAATATCGAGCTTTATAACGAAGGATTGGTATCCGTCACAATCGATTTCATGTTTTCAAAATACAGAATCTTCATATCGTCATTTTGTCCGAGCAAGTCTTGTGTTTTCATGCTTTTCTGTGTGTAATTAAGTGATTAGTACTCATAGCCACCAGTTTAAGGGAAGCTCAAGTTTAAGAGACCTCAGATCAGATTAAAACGAAAACAGTTGTCATACATCATAAAGTTAGTATGAGAGAAGTAAAAGTGATAGCAAACGAGTAGGGACATGTTATTAAAGCGTTCAGAGTTTAAACCTAAGTTATTTTATCTCTAGATTCTACATTTGTGGAGAAATCAATTTCAGAAATCATAAAATGATTTTCAGTGAGCTTGGTTCATTGGTTTTTAGTATATTCTTATATGCATTGACTTATTTAGTATGAAGCTCGTTATTTTATTATTAATGTATCTTTATTGTATTAATCAGTTCACCGTGGTATTTATATTCAGTGACAATTACTCTGTTCGTAAATTATAATTATGTTAACCGATATATAACTGATTAACTTTGGCTTCTGCTTGAAAATGTACTTATGTTTTTCTTCAAGCCGTGCTTTGATTTGAAACCGGTTGAATGGAATACTGGGTTGTTAATGATCTAATAGTGACAGACATGATAAAAATGATTCGTAGCCAACTGTATTTGTGTTAAGTGTTTTAGGAACAGTGGTTAATGTAATAAGTTTACAACCAACATGTTCAGCGTCCTGATATAAACTTTTATATGTCATTTTTTTGTCGAGTATAATGGGGAGTTGAACGTTTGAGACAGTGCGATATTCACAGTCGTGGATCTTAAGCCACAACACTCGGAGTTTTCAGTAATCGATTTATGTGGTTTTGTAGGTGGCACCTATCAAATTTGGATTTCCTTATGGGACTCAAGTCAACAGTCATTGATTACATGGGTCATTGTTATATCTTTTTATGTGAGCCTTGTATGAGAAGTGTTTTTTAAACATCTGGTTTTCATCGATTTGGTATTATACTAGTCTCTTTTATTGAGTGACTGATGGTTAATAATATGATTGTTTATCCCTACATTTCATTTTACAAAAGCGTTTCAACTCCAGTATTTATGTTATGTGTCACTTAGACACAATACCATTGCTCCAGGTCATGCAAAGCCCAACAGTTTTATTACGTAGCGTGGAGTGATGGAAAAGCAGGTTAGCTTGTAATATATGATGACTCCCTGGTCAGGTTGCTTGGGGTTTTGGACCGCCAGGTATTTTCTAGGAATAATGCTGAACTTATTTTTGGTAAAATTCATAACTTCTACACAAGCTGTATGACGAAAAGCTGATAAGTGTATTGGTTGGCTTTTTTTACTCATTATTAATGTGCATTATTTTCCGACCTCATCAGATCCTCATGTTTTGTTATATTTTACATAGTGACATTTGTCTTTTCTCTCATAGTGTACCATATTTTTTCCTACATAGTTATGCAGATAAATCTGTAAATCACTGTGTAAAGAGACAGTGGTCAGTTTTGCTTGATCCTGTGAAGTTGAAACTAAACTGAAGCCATTATAAGGGGCTGTAATACTACTCACAATGAAAGATTATGTTTGTCGTATCAGTGTTCGTTTTTAATGTGTCCTTTTTGCCAATTTCGTGTATTATATCTTAGTTAGATACTGCTTCTATTTATGATAATGTCAGTATAATGCTTTTTCCTAAAGAAAGAAACGAAGCTGTTAGAGAAGGCATCTCATCTCTCAAACAGTTCATTAAATTTGTCTGAGTCAAGTAAATGTGATGAACGACCACGTCGAACTATAGTATACAAAAGAGAAGCAGAAATAAAAATATCTAGTATGCCTATCCCAAGAGAGATTTTCACGAAAGTTCCCGCCAAATCAGCTGCTCCTGTTGTATATCCATGCCCTCACTGCTCTCGTCAGTTGCGAAATTCAAAATTACTCGACGCTCACATTGTTAATTATCACAAAAGTGTATCTGGTAGCACAAAATCCACAACACACACGAAAAAAGAAATTTATCAGAATCGATATTTGCCATGGAAATCTCATATGCAGTTATCTTCTCTTGGCCCAATGTCAAAGGAAAAACCAAGGTATTTGGTTTTATAGTAGTTATCTTATTATTCACTAGCTTTTCTCATTCCTGACTTTTGTTCAAAGATGGTTTTTGTCCGATGACTTGTGGCTTTTTTATAGTTAATTTTGCCCGAAACACCTTTAAAAACTTGTCTTAGTCAATACCTTTAAATGCATTTTTTAAATGTTAATGTTCCGCATAACTAAAAGGGACTAGTTTATTGTGTAATCACCGTCCAGAAGACGTATATGAGTTATCTATTCCTTACTTTCCTCAATAGTTTTAATTCATGACACTGCTAAGCTTAATGAAAAATAAAGAAAATGCAGTTTTAAGTTCTCTATTTGCCAACAGAGTTTGAAGTCTCTGTATATTCTGAATGGTTTTTTTATGTATTAAAAGTACTTACTTTTATAATGGAGTGTGATTTACAATCATCAAGTTGGATCCCTTTCTCATTCTTCATGTTTTTAATACTTGCACCTACATCTTTAAAATTGTTATTTAATGCTGTTGCAGTTCCAAACTGTATGCACTTGTTTCAAAATGAATTTAACTTAACTCAAGTTTGTTTTGTTTTATATGGATGCGATCATAGGTTTTTTGTCGTCTTCATATAGATTTATTTTCTTGTTTTTATTGAACCCTATTCTGATAGATCAAGTGCTCCTGAGTTCACCAGACTTCTTTCTTGTCACTGTTGCAATGCACGAGCATATGCTACAGAAAAAGAACTTGGTCTTATTCAATGTTCACATTGTTTATGTTGGTTTCATCGTTTGTGCGGTGGTACTTCATTTGACTCGAAACTATTTTCAAATGTAGACTTGTTGAGTAATAACGAACTTTGTTCACCTGTTGTTTGTAATAATTGTCGGATGGTTTTACGTCCAGCTAGGAGATCCCGCAGAAACGAATGGCGTACGGGGTTACTACGATCACATGACCTTAACTCTGAATTTTCAAAACGAGGTCTGTTAACTGATGTGTCGTCTATTTTGAATAAAGCCTGTCAGTTACGTCCATTATTAGCTTCTGGGTGGCAGATATTGAACAGGTCAAATTTGCCTTCTGTGTCTGATCAAGTAAAGCAAGATTCTGGCGTTTTCAAAAATGCCTATCAAGACGCATCCAAACCAAGTGAATTTCCAACATCGAAGTTTGCTGGAAGTATCAAACATACAGCTCCCGTTATACATACCCCTGAAGATCAAGTCAATCGTAAGTTATCTCTTTTAAATAATTTCTACTATTAGTATTTTATTATTGTTAGTAATTTCAGCATATGTGTCTGACTAATCACTTAAGTATCGAGATACTATGACTTCGTTTTTAATTATTATTATTTATTTTTTTTTTATTTGGACACATGAATATTGGTACAGGAGAGCGCCAATATATATGCGCCACACAAAACAATGAAAATTCGAGAGGAATACAAGGAAAGAAAAAAAAGCTAAGGAGCGCAACAAAAAAAAGAGAGAACAATAACGAAGAGATTGGTGTAAGGTAATGTGCTAGTAATCAGGGAACGCAAAGGTACAATCGGAAGAAATCTTTCAGGTAAGGGAGACAGAACCACTTTTTATGAAGAAAGTAAAAGAAGGTTACAGCAGGATCGGTACTGGCTTCTATTCTGAGCCATATCTGATAACGTCTCTAGCCACTGTGTAGCACCATCTCTCAGACCCCAACCAGGGAGTCGTGAAGGACCAACACAAGCCAGTCCTTTGCAGCTTTCTTTCATGCCACGACACCATGTCATGCACTGACCACCTCTCCGCTTCTTCCAACCAGTCCCAGAGTCGGCAAATAATGCACGACGTGGAATTCTCTGGGACGGCATTCGGAGAACATGTCCAAGCCACCGAAGTCGGTGTTTCAAGATGGTGACATTGATTGCATTATCGTCTCTGTGCCCGAACACACGATGTCGAACCTCTGCATTACTCAAATGATGCTGCCACTGGATGTCAGCAATCCTTCGGAGACAGCGATGATCGAACATAGAGAGTCGTCTAACGTCCTCAACTCGGAGAGGCCAGGTTTCACAAGCATAGAGCAAAACTGCTCTCACCGACGCGTTGTAGATCCGACCTTTTACAGCCAGACTAACATCACGAAGGCGCCAAAGATGGCCCACATTGGCATAAGCCGCTCTGGCTTTCACTATTCCTGAACTGATCTCATCACTCACATCTCCACCAGCACTTTTGCAGCTACCTAGATAAACGAACTTCTCGACTAAGTCTATCTGTTCACCATCCAGGGTGAGTACAGAATTAGAATCCTGCGTCTTGTAGGAGTACTTTGCACTTAGAAGGTGCAAAGCACATACCATACCTACGGACACTGATTGCCAACTGATTAAGTGAGGATTGCATGGTTTGGGTATCATCGCACAGTAAGGCAATATCACCTGCATACTCAAGATCGAGAAGGCTTTCTCCGGGCAACAGATCCACATCGCTATTGCTTACATCCATCAGAGCTGTTTCCAGAATGTCATCGACGGCAAAGTTGGAGAGGAATGGTGCGATTGGGCAACACTGGCTAACCCCACTACTCGAATGGAACAATGGAGAAAGGTGGTTGTATGCCCTCACTCTGCCTGAGGTGTTTTTATATAGGGCTTTTAGGATGTTAATAAACTTCTCAGGCACACCCTTCTTCAATAGACAATCCCAGAGAACAGTTCTGTCCAACGAATCGAAGGCAGCCCTGATGTCAAGAAACACTACGATTGTTGGCCTTTGATAAGTATGGCGGTGTTCTAACATTTGGCGGAGGGTGAAGATATGATCAATACATCCTCGACCAGAACGAAACCCAGCCTGCTCCTCGCGAGTCAATCATTCTCGGGTTTTGAACAACCTACGAAGTATGACGGAAGCCAATAGCTTGGACGCAATCGGATGTAGACTTATCCCCCGATAGTTGTTACAGGAACGACGTGAACCCTTTTTAAAGATAGGGACAACTATCGACTCATTCCATGACGTTGGCACACTCTCTAGTTCCCAAACCTTTGTAAGCAACGTCGTCAATTCCTTAGTCAAAAAGTCACCACCATCTTTAAAAAGAGCCGGAGGTAAGTCATCTGGGCCAGGTGATTTGTAACGCTTCAAGAGTTGGAGTTCCTTGCGGACTTCCTCCTCGTTTGGTGGATCAGTCGTCACCGGCCATGGAGGGCAGGACAGTCTGACTGATGTTGCCGGAGCAGCAGGCCAGTTGAACTGCCCTTCGAAAAATTCTGCCCACCGTCCAAGACGTCGATGGATGTTAGTGATTGGCATCCCATCATCCTCGCAGATTGTTTCACTCACACCAGACGTCTTGCTGCCAGTGGCTCGGATGAGCTGGAAGAGCTTCCGGTAGTTACCAGATGCAGCTGCTGCTTCCAGCTCATTAGCACGCTTCGACCACCAGGCTTCTCGGTCCTTACGCAAGCTTTGCCCGATTTCCTTACATAACATCTTTCGTTTATGGTCAAACTCACGGTCACCCGGAGTAGACCGACGGGCTTCAATGAGTTGTAAGGAACCAGAAGAAACCCAGTGCTTAAAAGCGGGATGTATTACTAACTACTGGATGTATCTTAGTTGTTGATATTTCAAGTACAATGATGCTTGATGGTCACTTTGATTTTGATTAGGTAGTCCTGTATTCTCTTATGTTGTAGAACGTCGGGTGCATACTATTATACAATACATTGAGGGCTCGAATGAATAACCCGAGGGTATCATTTATTTTTTGGATTGGACCCACTATAGGTTAAGTTACAATATTTGAAGTCGATGTTGTTGGTTCAAAAACTTTCACTCTTGATACGTATTCTGTAAATTATATTTTTCTATACTGGTTTATTTGGATAGTGTAGTAAGAAAATAAAGATTATCAGAACTGTTACATATTAACACAATACATTTAGAACTATCGGATCACAGATACACTTATTAAGAACATTTAAATATGAAAAATAAAGGGTCAACTAGGTAAATTTAAGGTAAAAGGAAACGGAGATACTAAAGAAAGTAAACCGAAACTCACCATGCTGGATAATAAATCAATATTACCTAAGTCTTTTATGTAACTATTCTCTGACGGATTCTTCTGAGTGAATGGATTGTTTACGTGATATTAATTTCGAGGTAAAGACAACGTACTCTTTCAATGTGACATTCCTTGTTCACAAATATGCTGTTATATATATATATATATATATATATATATATATATATATGATGTATTGATTATATCTTTACCCTCCGCCGAATGTTAGAACACCGCCATACTTATCAGAGGCCAACGATCGTAGTGTACCTTGACATCGATTCGTTGGATTGGACTGTTCTCTGGGATTGTCTATTGAAGAAGGGTGTGCCTGAGAAGTTTATTAACATCCTAAAAGCCCTATATAAAAACACCTCAGGCAGAGTGAGGGCATACAACCACCTTTCTCCATTGTTCCATTCGAGTAGTGGGGTTAGGCAGGGTTGCCCAATCTCACCATTCCTCTTCAACTTTGCCATCGATGACATTCTGGAAACAGCTCTGATGGATGTAAGTAATGGTGGTATGGATTTGTTGCTTGGAGAAAGCCTTCTCGATCTTGAGTATGCGGACGATATTGTCTTACTGTGCGATAATGCCCAAACCATGCAATCCTCACTTAATCAGTTGGCAATCAGTGTCCGTAGGTATGGTATGTGCTTTGCACCTTCTAAGTGCAAAGTACTCCTACAAGACGCAGGATTCTAATTCTGTACTCACCCTGGATGGTGAACAGATAGACTTAGTCGAGAAGTTCGTTTATCTAGGTAGCTGCAAAAGTGCTGGTGGAGATGTGAGTGATGAGATCAGTTCAGGAATAGTGAAAGCCAGAGCGGCTTATGCCAATGTGGGCCATCTTTGGCGCCTTCGTGATGTTAGTCTGGCTGTAAAAGGTCGGATCTACAACGCGTCGGTGAGAGCAGTTTTGCTCTATGCTTGTGAAACCTGGCCTCTCCGAGTTGAGGACGTTAGACGACTCTCTATGTTCGATCATCGCTGTCTCCGAAGGATTGCTGACATCCAGTGGCAGCATCATTTGAGTAATGCAGAGGTTCGACATCGTGTGTTCGGGCACAGAGACGATAATGCAATCAATGTCACCATCTTGAAACACCGACTTCGGTGGCTTGGACATGTTCTCCGAATGCCGTCCCAGAGAATTCCACGTCGTGCATTATTTGCCGACTCTGGGACTGGTTGGAAGAAGCGGAGAGGTGGTCAGTGCATGACATGGTGTCGTGGCATGAAAGAAAGCTGCAAAGGACTGGCTTGTGTTGGTCCTTCACGACTCCCTGGTTGGGGTCTGAGAGATGGTGCTACACAGTGGCTAGAGGCGTTATCAGATATGGCTCAGAATAGAAGCCAGTGGCGATCCTGCTGTAACCTTCTTTTACTTTCTTCATAAAAAGTGGTTCTGTCTCCCTTACCTGAAAGATTTCTTCCGATTGTACCTTTCCGTTTCCGCAATTGTTATTATTTTACACTACCTTACACTAATCTGTACGTTATTTTTTTACTCTCCTTACCTTGTTTTCCTTCTCTTCGAATTCTCGTTGTTTTGTGTGGCGCATATGTATTTGGTGCCCTCTTGTATTAATATTTGTGTTCAAATAAATAATAAATAATCACGTATTACTGTGTCCATCAGTTCGAGTGTGTCTGTCTACACAAATTAGGGTATCTAAACACGTACCAAAATGGTTGCAAAAAAACAAATAAAGTCAAATGACTCAATAATAGTAGACGATAAATATCCATCTTCTTATCTATCGTTAAATGCATAGTGGAAACAGTAGTGTTTGCTGTATCTTCTACCTTTCAGAATTAATGATCAGTTCAAGTGACATTCAGAATGGTAGTTGTTTACTAAGATATTTTATACGATGTTCTTTTATAGTTCATCTGTGTAATTATAAATGACTTGTGGCTACTCTTTTTTGTATTCTGATGTGATTGATGATCCAAAAAAGACGTAAATGGTATGTCGATTGACACGAATACATATCGAACTAAGTACCTTAGACCAGGCAGTTCTTCTATGTTCAGTATTTATATCCACAGGTATTGTTCCTATTATCAACCTGGATTCTGTTTTGGGAAATATAGAACAAACACTATGTGGAACATTGTTGATTTAACCGTGGTGGATTCATACCTTCGGAATAAAAAAAATAGTCTCACAGTTGTTGTAGACGGTCTTAACTGTTGTTTTTTAAATGTTAAAACTTGACTAGTTACCACATTGTTTCTGCTTACAATCACCTCTTTTACGTCCAGTTTCTTGTACTGTTTTCTTATACGTTTTAGGCAAATGCAAGCAACAAATGAACGTTCTATATCTGGTTCACTCCTATCTATCGTAAAGAATTACTTTAATCTTCCAGATTACTTTTAGCTCTATGTTAATGAACGTATACTATTTGAGTTATATCACTTAAACACTAGTTAAAATCTGACATTCGAAGATAATCTGAAATAACTTGTATCATCTGAAATAAACGTTTTTTTGTATTGAAATAAATCGTATCCGAGTTCATAAACGATGATCATTGTTGTTGATGAAGTTCTCTAGGGCCAAATCACTTAAGCTATGTGAACGTTGGGTTTGTTTTGGCCAAGTAAGAAAATGTTGGACAATTATATAGAACTTAGTGGCTAGTGTTACTTGTTTTATAGGACTGGGCAGGTTTATTCTTTCGCTTCCCTGAGTTTGTATTTACTTAGCATGCCTTATGACATGGTAGTGGTTCTCTTTATGTAAAAATTGTTACTTTGCATGTACTAAAATATATAACCAATCTAAAATTAAAAGTTCCTAGTTTCTTGTCTCTTTCCATAGTACATATTATTGTTTAGAGATTTCTCTTTAAAAATTCCGACTATGTTACTTTCCATCTTTATTTTGGAGCAATAATGATGAAGAATAATTGCTTATTCGGTCTTGATAGAATTTTACAAAAATGTTCATAGACAGTTTTTATTTAAAGTTTTGCTAAATGAAGAATTTCGTTTCTTCATTTTGTTTTATAGGTCTCTATATGGAATTGAGGGGTATAGCGTTTGGAAATCTTTCTGAAGCTAATGGTGAAATCACTGCGTCTAAGTGTGATCACTTACAGCTACCAAACGATAATCATACTTTTTGCATTTCTACTCCGGACTCTGAATGTCCTAATACCAACTGGCCATTAGACGAAGCAATTAACGGTTCTGCTCAGTCGGAATCCGTTTCATACCAAGTTACTGATCCTACTTATCATATTGCCTCTCAAGATTTGTCAGGATTTCTTCAGGATCTTGGTCCCGATATCATTCCAGAAATTTCAGGTTTTAATGTTGATGGAGTGATAAATATCAGTAGTGTTACTTCTGATTCCTGTTCTGTAGATGAATTTTTGAAGGTACCCAGATCTTATCCAGAACAGCCACCCGTTTCACAGAATAATGATAAGTTATGTAGAGAGAACACTGCTTTGCAGTTGCTTTGTTCTCATCCTAGGATTACTAATACGTCTGATAAAGATCTAGGTACTATTCTTGATATTTCTGCTTCGGAAGATTCTACTCTAAGTCCTTTGAAATATTTTTCCAATACTGTATGTAATAATCATTTAGAGTCAGGTCAGCAACTTCTTTCATGCGATTCTAATATCCCTTCAACCTTGTCACCTGACAAGCCTATGATTCAAACATCCGTTGATGTCAAAATCAACAGATCCAATATCGATGGTGGAATTTCAGTCAAGTAAGTTGCTTTATCTTAGTGTGATTTTAATCGAGACATTGGAAAAGGTGTAGATGTTTTTCATCGAAAAACATATGTGAATTATTCTTAATCTTGGTACAATCGGTCTGTAGTATTTGTGAGCTTTTACCGTTTTACTGTGGATCTCTTAAAGTTAATTAGGCTTAACCATTAAGTCAGGTCGCAGAATTCTATTGATCTCCTAGTTTCTCTCATTCGCATATCCATACTGTGATCATGAATATAACATACTTTACATGGTGGTTAATGTGTATCATAACTTAGTGTTGTTACATTTAGTGAGGTTTATATCTAAGATATGTATTGTGGATACCTAACCACCACCACGTACCTGGATGTGTAATATTGGTTGACATGAGAGTTGGTTGGCATAATGGTAAGGATGAGCAAATCAAGATTTGGGATCGTTCTGCGATGTCACTCACTTCTGGTCTCAATAATGTCGGTATGTGAACATTCTATGATTAGAATTCATGGAATACTCGTAGTGAGTGGTTTGAGATATTAAATGGGATTAGGGTAGAGCAGTTAGGATGATGAAATTGTATTATTTCTCTATCTTGCTCTAAATATTGGATTACTTGTGACCCATAACTCTTCATCTATCTCATTCTCGTAAAACTGCGTCTTTCTCTTTCACTTAATTAAGTAATTGAAGTTAAATACTCTTATTCGCTTCTCATTTCTGGCTGTAATGATTTGGCAGCTATATGTGTACATGCCATGTTCTAAATTGATGATAACCGTCTGACTATATTGTTTAGTATTTGAATATTGCTTTTTGAAAGTCGAGGTTGTAGGTCTATGTATTGTCATTGACAGATACACGTTTCCATCCTGACTTAGAGTTTAATTTAAAGGGTAATTTCTATTTTGAAATATTTAAAAGTGAATGTTCTCAGTAAATAATGAGTTATCTGAAGCATAGAATAATTTTGTGAAACATTCTTGTAAGTATGGAAAACATTAAATGTTAAACATTCAAGCTGTTTAATAGAAATAACTTGTTAATTGATATTTGCTTGTTTCCGTATGTCATCAGTGAATCAAGTGACAGAATTTCAACTAATCATTTGGGAACGGGTGTCGGATCAGATATTATTAACCTTTCTATTCCAAAATGTGCACGTTCAATCATCTCTGATTTACTGAGTAGTCCTTTAAATGATTTCGTTACACCTTGTGTCAGTCAGCAGTCTGATCTAAAAGGATCTAATATTCTGCATACATCTTGTAAGTATACTTTTATCCTTCTGTGCTTTCTACTATTGGTCTGCAATACCTATTTTGTATATCAGTATGTTTCTATTTTTATGTAATTGTTTATGGAACAGTTATTCCACTTAGATATATTGTGGATATGCACTATCATTTGGATATTACTATGGAAATTCAAATTTACTTCATATTTAAAACAATCTAAAAATTAAAAGTTATTGAAGCAGTATCTGAAATTTTCAGGGTAATTTTGTTATTGTAGACATTCTTTTCAGTTTGTAAAAATTACTAATTTTTAGATTTTTATTTTCTTAAGTAATAAACTGATATTTTTCTCGAATTCCAGGCACATCGAATGAATTTGTACACCTCTCATCAACGTCTGGATTAAATTCTTTGGACATTGACTGGTTAGAGGCAGATAGCCATAATCAGTCTGTGAATTCTTCTACTAGTCCAGTGTATCAAAATAATGTCAAGATATATGACCATTCCACGTTGAATGAGTTTTCTGATCTTGCCAACCATATAACAAATTTAAGCAACATGACCTTTCATTTTTCAGTTGAACAGCTCAGAAAGTTAGCACAAACTCAAGATAACTTGTTGAACGTAGATGAGTGTATCTTAACGCCATTTGAAAATGCTCTAAGTGTTATGGAAGCCCAGTTGGATGTAATCACAACCCATGTTACCAACTTTGAACAACTGCAGAAATATGATCATAATAATATGAATACAGAATGCGGTTATTTGGAAGACGAGAAAGTTCCTTCATACACAAAACATCAAGGAACAAACCAAGTTCTTACTCCCAGAAGTCCTTTAAATTTATCTCAGTCATCTAATGGAGTACATGCGACATTTTCCTGGGGGAAAATGAATGACAAAGCTTCGTTTCCCTTTGTTCTCGAAGGTGCAAAACATAAAGAATATAAGATAGATTTAGAAACTTATTTAGAAAGTGCCAAAACTGCGGCTCAATATCTTTACCGTCTACAAAAAGTATCATTACAAGAGTCAAACCTTCATACTGACGTGCCAAATGTGTTGAATGATTAATTTCACAATCGTATCAGTGGGATTTCAAATAGAGTAACTATTTATGCGAGCGACGATAGCAACAATGTCATTATGTCCTCAAGTTTACCTGTTTTAAAGTGACTGGAATAATTATTTTATTGATTAACCTCGTACAGTTTGTATATATATGATATGAACCTTGTACATCACTGCACCCATACAATGGGACTACTACTGCATTCCAGTTTATACTAGTGTCCTGCATGTGTACTTTATTGGTACTAATACGTTTACATTACTGGAGTTTTTATTCCTATTCCCCTTCAGAGCTATCGCACTATGTAATGCTGTCATTTTTTTATCTAAATATTTTGCATGTACACATCCAGTTTATATAACTACTTGATTACTTCTATTCTGTTATTTTATACTTAGTATTCATCCATTTTATATTATCTTCAGAAGTGTACGTCATGAAGTATTCATTTATTTACAGACATGTTTTCTTATCAGAATGCATGCGTTTTCTCTCTGCGATTCTGCAATACGTACCAAGAGTATCACCTCATCTTTTATCTCCTTTAACGTTATATCAGAACGTAGCCGAACAAGTAATATATATCTGCAGCGTAAACAAAACACGACTCAACAAATGGAGATATTGATCGCTTTTTCAGAGTACCTGATATATGCTTGTAAAGTCATTGTGAAACGGCCTGATGTTTTTATGTAAATATGTTTTATAGTAACTACAATCAGTCTGAGAAGTGCGGAAACTTGATTCTGTAGTTCTCTACGTTTCGAAACAACGGAAAAAGAGGAATATAATATGAAAATGAACCAAAAGCAAATGGTCATATAGGGAATATGATTTATTATTATTTTGAAGGTTCAGGCCAAATAAATAGTTAAGATGTTTGAACTATTGGGATAGATTTTAATTCATGCTCGCAGCTACTGCGTTTCAAATGCTAATAGGATTAGTTCTAACTATTCATACACAACTCACCCGACCGAAGCTGCTACCTTGACGCGGTGGTCGGGCTTGCCTATCGTGATGACCCAACCGAGCCATATTGGCTGGAACATATATTCCTGTAGGTTCTACTATACCAGCCAGGTCGATTGGAGAACGGTAAGACTAAAAGCAGCAACTCAAGGTCTGAGGGCGAAGTCGTACTGCTGACTGTAGAGGGGTGTGGCAGCAGTAAGGTGTTTCCCTCGGACAACCAGAATCTGCATCGATCTTGCCTTCTCACAAAGAAGGAGGGGGTTAGAAAAAGTCGACCACACCTCACCTTACCTCACGGATTTCCGTCTCCAGTGGTAAGGCCCTTTGAAGAACGGAGCTAACACATTAAAAACCTTCCACGAAAAGGCCGTGCGCGACCGGCCTCAAGCAGTTGTCCCTTGGGCTCTGCGGTCACGCTCCCAGGTCGTCAAGATCAACACTAATCCAATTTCCTTTCCAGGTTCCTCAAGAAATACCCTTCCACGGTGTGGGCAGCCGGGAAGTGACATCAGCCCTCATACCCGTAACAGCAGACGAGACCAAGTTGGTCACATTCAAATCCTTCCTACACCTCCTAATACCTCTCTTATCTCCATGACTAACCCTCCTCACGTCTCTTTATCACCTCGCACCGCTAGGGCAAACCATTCGAGTACGTGGAACGCTATTCCTAGTCTCCTGAAACCACGCTCTAAACGACATGTAGGAGCTTTTAACGTCCGAACAGTGTGCCAAATAGGACAGCAGGCTTCCTTAGCTAGGACTTTAGAATCTCGCGCCATCGATGTGTGCTGCGTCTCCGAAACGCGCATACAGGATCCGAGTAGCGTCATTCATTTGGCATCACCATGCCAAAATAAAGAACCGACTCATTTCACACTTCGTGTATCTGGAAGCCCAGATGCGGCTTCTCGTGGACTCGCTGGCGTAGATATAGCATTGAGTCCTAGGGCAGAAATAGATCTCTTAGACTGGATCCCAGAAGACAGTCGTTTGTGCGCTGTCCGACTAAACGGAACAATAAGGACTCGGAAAAATAGGGACACTCGTCGTTGCCTCTTCGTCGTCTCTGCCTATTCTCCTACTGACTGCAGCTCAGATGATGTAAAAGATGAGTTTTACAGAAAGCTTTCGGACCTTCTCCGAAAAGCTAAGCGCTCGGATGTAGTAATAGTGGCCGGTGACTTTAATGCTCAAGTAGGTAAACTAAGCGAAAGGGAAAGACACCTAGGTGGATCTTATGGTGTCGTGGCTCAAAGAACAGATAATGGCGACCGTCTGTTGCAGCTATGCTCAGATAACCGCTTGTTCCTTGCAAACACTTACTTTAAGCATAAGGAAAAACATCTTTTAACATGGCGACAACCTAATTCGTCCCAATGTTGGACCCAAATAGATCACATCGCTATCAGTCACGGATGGAGGGGCTCGACAGAAGACTGTCGCTCATTCTGGAGCACATGCTTAGATTCAGTTCATGCCCTAGTGCGAGCGCGTATTTGCCTGCGTCTTACTGGACGTAAGAAAGACGCTGCAAGGAAACCTCTTAGGGCCATATCGCACTGATAGATGCTCGGAAACTCATTCCACCTGACTCTGAACATAATGAAGAGCGGAGTCAGCTTAAGCGCATGCTGACAAGAAGCCTACGCAATGATCGCGAACAGTGGTGGGTAGCGAAAGCAAGAGAGATGGAAAAGGCAGCGGCAATGGGTAATAACAGACAATTGTTCAGACTCGTTAAGGAAACTGGTATTAGGAACCCGACCGTTAGCGAAGCAATCTCAGAGAAAGATGGACATATTATACATTCTCAATCCAGGAGATTGAATCGATGGACAGAACACTAGAGATCAGTTCAACTGGCCTTCAGCCACACTTCGGTTTCCCACGATCTCCAGTCAACCTGAATGGCAAGTTAATGAAGGTCCTCCGACTCTTTATGAAGTAGAAAAAGCTATCGCAAATCTGAAGCGAGGGAGAGCAGCAGACCCTGACAGGTTTACTCCTGAGATTTTTAAGGATGGTGATCCAGTATTAGCAGTGAGATTAACTGAGGTCTTAGGTAGAATTTGGGAACTGGACGCAATCCCATCTGACTGGTCTCAATCACTGATTGTACCAGTCTATAAGAACGGACAAAAGTTCTTTTGTGACAATCACAGAGGAATCAGTTTGACTAATATAGTGTCTAAAATATTAGCTTCAATAATACTTCGACTCCTAACTAAAGCTCGTAAAGAGCAGACTAGAGAAAACCAGGCTAGTTTTCGACCTGGACGTGGTTGTATAGATCAGATATTCACACTACGCCAGGTTCTAGAACACAGACACACATTCAGACGCTCCACAATAATAGTATTTCTCGACCTTAAGGCGGCATCCGACTCTGTTGATCGTGATGTTCTATGGCAGTGTTTGTCACTGAAAGGAGTACCAAAGAAGTACACTAACCTTATAAAGGCTCTCTACTCGAACACAACTGGTCGAGTGAGAGCTTATGGCGAACTGTCATCAGAATTGATTACCTCAAGTGGTGTTCGTCAGGGCTGTCCACTCTCTCCATTCTTGTTTAACTTTGTCGTCGACGTACTTTTAGATATAACACTTTCCTCGTCTAGATTTCCAGGGGCTGAACTTCTACAGGGAGGTTCACTCGTTGACTTAGAATATGCAGATGACATAGTTTTATTTGGTGAAGACGCTGACAAAATGCCGAGTCTTCTGACCACTCTAAGCAAACAATGCAAGCATGTTCGGGATGCGATTCTCTCCCTCGAAATGCAAAATGTTGCTTCAGGATTGGGTTGCATCGACACCCGAACTAATGATAGGGAGTGAAGTAGTTGAGTGTGTCGACCGCTTCACTTATCTTGGAAGTCTCATCAGCCCTTGTGGTCTGGTGTGTGACAAAATCTCAGCACGGATACAGAAAGCCCGACTAGCTTTTGCCAACTTGCGTCATTTATGGCGTAGGCGAGATATCTGTCTGTCAACCAAAGGACGTGTTTACTGCGCAGCAGTTCGTTCCATCCTACTTTGTGGCAGTGAAACATGGCCGGTAAGAGTAGAGGATATTCATAGATTACTAGTATTCGATCATAGGTGTCTTCGAAACATTGCTCGTATATTCTGGGACTACCGAGTAAGTAATGCAGTTGTTAGGGAATGGGTGCTAGGTAAGGATAGCAAATCAATTGATCAAGTGGTGAAACTTCATAAGTTGAAATGGCTGGGACACGTGTTACGTATGCCCAACCACCGGCTGCCTCGACGTGCTATGTTCAGTGGTATAGAAGTAGGTTGGAAGAAAGCTAGGTGCGGCCAGACCAAAACATGGCACAAGTTCATGAAATCACTGACAAGTGGACTGAGTCATGTTGGTAGGTGTAAACTACCTGGTTGGGGACCACGAGATGAAAGCAACCGATGGTTAGAGACCTTGAATGACGTGGCTCAAAATCGTTTGCAATGGCGCAGGTGCATCCACTCTCTGTGTTCTCCCAAATTCTAATCTTCTGATTTCTTCATGTCCCTTTGTTTTTTTTCTCTTTCCAAATTTATTTCACTGGATTATAGTCCTTGAATAACATCTTCAAACCCTAATTTTTCTGATTACAGCTTATAATCTTACTACATCTAGCACTAAGGGATTTGAATCGACCACTGCATCTCTGTGCTAATGTGGTGTGGCAACTCGAACTGATGTACGTACGTACGAAGTTCTACGTTGGGACTGACTGACTGACTGATACACAACTCAGGTTGTTTATCTTTTGGTCGTATGTAATGTTTCAACCATGGTTATCACTCTTCACTGTCGGCATCATTGAACTTTGTTGTAGAAAGGTCACATATACAATACAGTCAACATCTTACAGGTGTAACTGATGTGACTTAATGGTCAGAAACTGACAGTTCGCTTATATTACTTTAAATGAGTAGAATTTCTATGTTTAACGGTTCTTGGTTTTCATTATCGTATAGCTTAAATTCAGTGTTCTTGTCACTTTACGTCACTTGTGGCGTAGGCTAGATATCAGTCTTCCAACCAAAGGGCGAGTTTACCGCGCAGCAGTTTGCTGCGTCCTATTTTATGGATGTGAAACATGGCTGTTAAGAATATGGGATATTCGTAGGTTACTAGTATTCGACCATAGGTTTCTTTGAAGCGTTGCTCGTGTATTTTGGGGTCTTGGAGTAAGCACTGTCTGGGTTAGGAATAAAGCACTAGGTAAGATGAGTAATCGACTGAAGAGGTAGTAAATCTTCATCAACTAATGTAGCTGGGACATGTGTTACGTATGCTCAACCATCGCCTAGCTCGACGAACGATTTTTGTTTGGTCTAGGAACAGGCTGGAAGAAAGTTAGAGACGGCCAAACGAAAACAATGGCATCAGTCTATGCAGTCGCTGACAATTGAACTTCGCCATATTAATATGTGTAGACTGCCTGGATAGGGTTCGCGTGATCATCGTAACCAGTGGTTAGAGACTGTATGACTTGGCTCAAAATCGTTTTAAATGGCACACGTTCATTCATTCGTTGTCTTCCTCAAAATCCTGGGATTCTAAATCCCTCATGACTTTTTTATTCTTATTTCACTAATTTACATTTTTCCGGGTTGTATCTTCGATGTCTAATCTCTCCCATTACGACTGATACTGTGCTACCTCTGCTAATCTGGGATTTGGCCTGACGACTTCATCTCTGTGCTAATGCGGTACGTTAACTTGAACCGATGTACATACGTATAGGTTCTACGTTGTGACTGACTGACAGTAGTGATTTTGGGAGTTGATTATTTCTATTCTGTATCGCTTAGTATATCTGTACCAGAGTTAACAGGATTCTCTAAAAAAACTGAATGTTACCAAAATCTTGTTTCCAATACTTCAGTTGAAAAACACGTTATCCCTGAACGTGTTATCGCCTGGTGATCACTGATCACAGGATATCATCTTATCCAAGAAAATTTTGTTTTCTAATTTTTCGACGGAATTTATATTTTTTTATCGGACATGAGAACGTCAACTGTTGTCTCATCTCATCCAATTTAAACTGAATGATTAAATTTCGTCAATTTATAAGTATGCATTAGAGGCTGATAATCATAATTTATTATGTGTCCTATGTTGAATTAAGAAACTTGACGATGACCAGTGATTCGTTTCCATACCAACTTTTACCATAAAAGCCTCTAGCTCTGCTTAAAATGAAGCTGACATAATTGCTAATATAAATTTTGATGTTTTTCTGTAGTGACTCATTTTTATTTTAGTAACTATAGTAATTCCATAACGAGAAATCTGCTAAATTACTGCTAATGTTATTTCTACCCAGTGTAATAAATCTACCCTGATCTAAATATAACCTCATAAATAAAGTGACATAAATTATCCTCCAAATATATATATATATATATATATATATATATATACCACCGAGAAAGGTGTACAAGAAAAATGACCCTTCGTTGGAGCTGACTACAAAGAGGAAACCCTGCAAATGTGTTGAAATGTCATCTGTTTCTTCATTTTTCAACTTTCTTCTTGCCTTATTAGTTACTGTCTGTTCTGAAAACGAATGGCATATTGGTAAGTTATTAAACTACCAGCTATCAGCTAGCACGTCCAAGAATTCATTGGTGTGTATAATTTCACTAGATTTATCATTTATTACATTTCATCTATAAAATAATGTTATTTTAATCATAATTCCTCGTTATCTTCAAGCTTCACTTTATCAAGAGATACTTTAGAATGTCTGTGCTAATCAGCATATACGTACAATTATACACTAAGTCGTAGGTGGTAGAAGCGAACTTCCTGTAGTTTCGGTCAATTAATAAAATTTGACCTTATATTGTTGACAGCCTACTTAGTAATTTTATACTCAAAACAATACTTGGATTAGATGACTATGTATAACTTAGTATGGTTATGTATATTTGTTGCGTACATAGTGAGCTTATAAAAGACTAAGTAATCATTGTAGTACAGACAATATTTTCTGATATCCTATTCTATCTGTATAACGATTGTTCGACTTTGTGTTTTTACAATTAAACTGAACAGTTTTAGAAGGATCATGATGAGATATACTATGGAGAAAACATTCACCTTCGAACACTGGATTCATAGTTGGTACATATGATAAAACTTAATATGTTATGCGTTGAATTAGTGTTGGATTAATAATTAATTGTTTAACTTCCAGCTGTTTTACTTTACTTATGACCATTATTTAATGATCCAGTGCTGAATTTTACACTTCAAAGTCGATATATTACTGTTAAATAGAAAATATTTGGTAACGTGTCTACACTAAACACATTTCCATCACGGTATTACAGTTAGTATACTACGTGATTATGAACGTATTAATAAATTTAATGCTCATAAGAGTAGTAAAGACGAAATATTTAGTTAGAAATGACTCCATTCATAGTCTTCATAATGTGACAATTTATGGCAAAATTGAACGCAACATACATCTATTATCTTTTTTAGAAAGATATTTCATAGTAATAGGCTTTGGTTGGACATTTTTGTCCCAGAAATATTTTTCATGCTTCTCAAAATAATCACTTCAGTTCTATTTATTCATTTATGTTTTAAACTTACAATTAGCAACTTCTCAATGATAAATCATAATTGCGTTAATAATTTGATCATAAAAGTCAACCTATGCTTTGGAGATCATGGGAAATTTCCAAGTGCAAGTTAGTTCAGTCACTAGAAGCCTGATTAACTGGTACTGTCTATAAAACTTAAGATTTCCTTCTTTTTGGCAATCTCTACTCATGAATTAATATTTCTAGTATAACTGTGTATCAATCACTAAATAACACCGAAAATAAAACTAATAAATGAAATAGTTTATTCAAATCAATTCAGTATACTAATATTGTTTTAGAACAGCATTTATAAGCGAACAATATTGCTATTGATTAGATCCTTATCACTCATACTCTAATATATCGTGATTCCTCAACTAAAGGATAGTTCACCTGGTTCTGCCACATCTAAGTGTATCTACAAATTCAGCTGCTATTGTGGCGAAAGCTATATTGGGCGCGCTACCAGACAACTGGGCCAATGAGTTAGTGAACCTCTCTCTTAGTGATTAGGATAGGGTGTCATCAACACAATACGTGACTCTGTTCTATCACAATTGATCGATAACAGTCATATAGTAGACGGAAATGGGTCATTTCAAGTGATATATCGTATTCCTACTAGTTTTCCTTATGATGTTCGATTTCGTATGTTACACATAACAGAAGCCATAGGAATTCGAGCTAACAATCCAAATCTTTTTATTCATAAGAAATTTGCAACACCTTTATCTCTCGCCTGGTTCTAATAAGTGATTTTACCCTCCTACTTATTTTCTTCAAAATATACACTTCATTGTCCAATTATCTGAACACTTCTTATTGCACAACCTTATAGTTTTTATGAATGTTATCTCAGCATCTATATTTTTCAAATCATTGACCTAATTCCCACTATTAAACATGGATACAAGCCATTATTATTCTTATCAAAACTAATACATCTGTTCTCACTATCAATTTGGACCTCTCATTTATGTTTATTTATGTAATCTATTACACTGTTATCATTCACTCACAGACTACCTTGATTGGTTTAATAATTTCATATATGCATATAAATATTACTGTATATTGGAGTAAAGCCTGATGAGGATTTAATCGAAAACAATATTGTTCGCTTATATATGTTTTATTTCATAATAGTTTTTTGCTTGACTGAGTGAATAAATTTAGTAACAATTCAGCATGCGTAAGAACTTTAATGAAGTATTTTCTCACAATTTTGCTTCACTCACTAAGCTGAAAGCTTCTTATTTAGATTCTAACAAATCAGCATGTCTCTTAAGTGCAGTCATTTTATCTTTGTTTATTAAAACCCAGACTGCTATTTTAAAGGAAATTCAATGTCTGGTTTAGTAAAAAGTATGTTCTTACTTTAAATTTGATTATTGTTCATTAACAGATTAGTTATTAAATGATTACAGTTGTTAGGTAATTTTTGTGCCTGTTTCGCCGGAAGTACAGTATCAGATTATAAGAACAAAGGAAGATAGCGAATTGGTAATGAAACAAATGTAGAAAGTAATTAATTTAGCAAAGGAAAACAGACTCGTGAAGAAACGAGTCAAAAACACATTCTTTTTAATCTAATGGGTTATGTATGTGAGAATTCTAGTAATGTACACATGTGCAAAATTTATTATTCTTGATGTTGTACAGATTTGTTCTAGCTGATATCCGCACCCTTTTTTCAGCTGAATACTCCAAATGTGAAACTAAATATGCTTTTAATCAAGCATGAACAAGATATCCCCTAATTAATTTATTTCAAATGGTAATCGTTAGCCCAGATTTATGCGTTCGATCTCATATTTAGTGAGGTTTAGTCAATATTATTGGAGGGAAAACCGGAACCGTTTATTTGTGTAAGATAGATAATATCATTTTAGTTAGCTTGATTTTTGTCCTTGAACTGGTAAATGTCTAGTAGACTACATTTTGATGGATTAATTTGACATGTTCATTTACGTTTAAACAATTTAGAATATTTACCGATGTAACCTAACTTTGTGTCGGATTTTTTTCAAACTTCTAAAGGTGTGATATACGATGATGTATTCGATCAAGTAAATTATAATCTAACTGATTTGTTCCTGGCACTGGAACCAACTCTTGAACACTATGCTGATATTTCTACAAGAAATTCTACTTTACCTACATCCCAAAAATTCAAATTTACTATTGAGAAGTTTTTTATTAACCAATGTAAGTAGATTTGTTTCATACTGATTAATGTATAAACGGAACTTATCTTGAAAAAATGACTAGAAATACCATTATGTAGTTGAAATGTTCTTCCCAAGTTAGTTCTTGATCTTTTATCCAATTTTTTTCTGATACACAATATCAAAAACTTTTTCCTGTAAAGAAGATAAGCCCTATCCATCACTTTGTTAATAACCAATTGAGAGAACAAGATCCTACAATCCAGGCAACGATTTAGTTTTAGTGAAATATCATGTTACAAATATCTAAGATGAATTATATTCTAGACGTATGAAACAACATTAGTAGTGTTCATTATTGTTAAAATGAAAACACACTAGTTTATCTGTGTAAAGTAAACCACAGTACATGTGAATAATTAGCAAATATATTTACCGAAAACTATATTTATAAAGCGTAATTGAATATACTAGGTGAACAAAAAATATAAAATATTTGGTTTATAATGAATATTAATTTGACGTTACCTAACTATCAATATGTGACAGGCATAATTGTCTATTTAATAGGCATCCATTCATGGAGTAGTAGTATTTGCCTTATTTTATTATGCTACTTCACTAACTTGATTGGTAGTACTGTTTGACTTTTCGTTATGGGCGAAGTGAACCTAAAATAAGTGACATACCATCTTGTTAAGTCTTACTACTTTGTCAGTTGTATTAACCTGCATGACATCAGCCAGTTAGACATCCTCTGAACAAGACTACTTTACTACGATTTGAATTCTTTCTTCCACGAAAATAATTTATTTTGACGATTAACTTCGTACAGACACAATTTAATTTCTCTTTGTGAAAACTGAACGTTTCTAAAAACATGGACAGATATGTAACACCCTTGAAAAGCCTACAATACAGTCCTTTTGTGTTAATATGCATTAAAAATACCTTGAGCACCATAACTTTTGTTTATTTGCAAAAAAACAGTAATAAGTGATATTAAATCCTCTACACACCTTGTGAAAGTTGAGTGTTAGTCATCCAATGGTGCCTCGACAGCATTATTTTAATCGTTAGTGTTACTGATTAACAGCGGTCATTCCTGATCCGACTCGTTTTACTATTCATCGTTTGTTACAGTATTGTGGTGATATATTCTCCAAATTAGGATGTTTTAAGAATATAAGTACTTAAATGAATTCTAGCTGTGAACATCAAGCAGTAAAAAGTGTGACTTAAGTTGCTAATAACTCAGCGCTCTTTGATCGGTTGACTTGAATTAGCACGTAAAAGTGATGATCAGAGTTGGTTATTATTAGATAATAGACTCATATTCGCAAATCAATGAAGAAGAGGTTTATCTATTGACAAAGTGACTGAAAATACTTGTCGGTTTGATGCTTTCATATTTATTTTTTAGCCTTACGAGGTGTAATTGAATTAACTGTTAACGAAATGCAGGACATTGTTACTGTGTATTTGTTTATTCAAAACAAGAAAAGATAATTTTATCTTAATAGCTTGAAAAAAGAACTACAATTTATACTTCACTGTATTCATGTATGAATGAGTGCATAGAAGACAAAAGTAAACCTATCTACTTAACAATATAGGTTAAACAGTTTGTTTTCTGCATTGAAAACTTGATTTGAAATCAACTGATGTGTATTATTATTATTATTATTATTATTATTATTATTATTATTATTATTATTAGGGAATCCATAAAATAGGCCAGCGAAATGAGGTCTGAATTTTGTAAAAAGCGATAGTAAATGCTTCAACTTAACCATTGAAAATGCTAAAGTCTTAAACTACTAAGAGATTTGCAAGGAAAAAGTCTTTTAAGTCAAAACTTAACTAGATTGAATACAGTTATTCTATATCATTCAAGCAAATACAATCCAATAAAGCTTGTTGTACTAAAAATTATTCACATAGGTGGAAGCTGTTTAAAAGGTGTGATATGAAGTTATGTAAAGTAAAAATTGTTTTTAAGCCTCAGTTAGTAAATTCACATGTTAGTAAGTTCAGTTAGTGAAGAACATGTGCAAAATTTGTACTGAAGCCAGATATAAAATTACCTATGAAGTTCAAATGAACTTCAAGTTTAGTGAAAAACGTTCCACCATAACGTGTTTCAACCAGACTGTCAAGATCATGCGTCATTTGAATTTAGACCACCATGGAAACCCTGGAAGCACTGGACGGCCGTTTCGTCCTATCGCGGGACTCTTCAGTATTGCGCATCTACGATCTCGCTTCACGAGACTGGAACCCATATTATTATTTCTTGGAAGTTTTATTGGCTCACTTTCTGATTTAGAAATTAAACTTAGAATCACCATGATATTTTAGCCAGTGAGTTGCACATAAAGTAATTTTTTTCCAGTGAATATATTTCTATAGGTTGCCGGGTACTTTGATAACGTATTCATCCAAAACGAGAAATGTTTCCCAAAATGATTGAAGATTAAGTCAGATTTGCTTACTCTTTGACAAGCATTTTATTCTGTCTTTCAGTAATATTGCGAATTGTAATTTGCGAGAAGCTCTTCAAAAAGTATTGGCGGAAGGAGGAGAAAGTCTTTGTTTTTCCCAAATACTGGTTTGTTTGATAGAATAATATAATAAAGTTGTTATTTAAACCAGCAATTTTATTACGAAATATAAAATGTGTGTCGAAAAAATTTTCTGAACACATAATGCTCTTTTCTTTTCAATAATAAGTTGTTAGTTAAATCATTCAGTTCAGTTACATACAAGTAGAAGAGAATAAAAAGCGATTCATTCATTTTCTTATCTTCTAGTGTGCAGCCTCATAAGCCAGGGTGTACATTTAGTTCTCAGTTTGACAGCATGTTCAACAGCTGAATATTTGGAAAGTGAGGCATATCGTTATCACCTACTTCATGTTGCCATACCAAGACCTGCATGCGAAGAGAAACAGACAACAAAGGTTACAGAAACAACAACTATATGGATTCAAACAGATCCTTTTCGGATGGCCAAGGCTTTTTTGGAGATCAGTGAAATGGAACGAGCTTCACATGCACTTATCTTAGCCGATGGACTTACTGGTATATTAATTTTCACTCACAAGTCATATAAAGCTACTTTATTACTCAATATATATTAATTAAACCATTTTACAAGTACCATTAATGATACTTTGACCTCGTTCTTACTTGAATTGTATCAGGTAACGTGATTTCTAAATTGATTCTCAGGTTTTGAATTCATCTGGCTCAGGGAGGAAAAGTCATGAGTACATTGCACGCATATGTAAACACAATTTATTCATCGTTTTCTGGTAAAATTAATGAACTAAGTTGATAATTATGAAACGGAGGTTCTAAAGCCTTTAGTTTATCAGTAGATTTTTTAACAAGCCCATTGAAAAAAGTAACTTTATTTAAATCTTTCTACAATATATTTTTCGAAATCAATGCTGACAATAAATTAGGCCGTTGCAAATTGTATAAAATACTGCTACTGACAAATCATTATATGGAAAATAAATTTGATGTGTCATGTTGCCGATGTCTTCTAACAACTTCTATGATTATTGACTAAATATTTCAAAATATAAAAATACCTTAGTGATAATCTTTCGGTGCTTAGTGAGTAATGAATCTAGGTTGGTCTAATGGTACCAAAAATAATTCCGTAATTAAACGTATTATTCGTCAATTAGTGTCTCATTCTTGATGTTACATTAGGAATAAAACCCCTTCAGTAAAAAATAATAAAGAAATAATCAAGGCATTGTACGCCAATGCGAATTTCAATACGTCCTATCGTTTATATAGAGGTGCAAAACTTTTAAGATTATAACATGATGTTTTTATGTTTTAGCAATGACATCAATCGACAATATTTACTTATATTTACGAGTAAGTTGCCACAAGTGTGACACATCTAGGGTGGATGTTGTTGGTTGAGAAGGATTTTCTGTTTGGGTAAATAGATGTGCCAGCTCTCAACATTTGTTTACTGAACACTGGAAATATAGAATATTTCGAAGATTAAAAGCGTCAATGAATTACAGAACTATTGTAATTCTGTATTAACATTTTCTCTCAATTTCATTTAAACATAACTATTTTAATCATCAATAACTATTGTTATTTGAAATGTTAGTTATTATTATTACTTTTATTTCCATCCTTTATGTTTTGTAAGCTAGCAGTGAATTATTTGAAGGCAAGACCACACATGTACTGCTATAAGTCATCTATTCATGATGAAAATAAGTGTCGATGAGGAATTATTTCTCTAAATTCCGACCTTGATGGTCTTTTCTTATCTCGTTGGTAAAATGATCAATAGGTAAACAACCGTATGATGATACCATTTATTACGGGCAATTACTTATTGTTATTAGAAACTATAGAGATTTATCTAAGATAGTTGGATACAAAGTCGAACGACATATTAATGATGGGTAATACATATTTTCTTCACATTAACAACTCTTATTTACAATTAAATCACTAGTTGGATCTTTATCAGTTACTCAGTTAGGTACACTGACATTTAGTTTAAAATTTAATCAGTATCCTGAAAAGTGTTGAAACTCTGAAAATTCATGCAAATATAATATTCGATTCTCAAGACTAATCTCGTTAAGCTAGATTGCTAGGCCGAAATCGTCAAGTGGTAAAAAATTTAGGTGGATTTAAAACCACGATGGTTTCATTTTAAAATCTGTTTGGATAAATTTAACATCAAAAATGTAAAAGTCATCGGTGTTTCATGTCATATATAAGTCAATATATCATGATTCAATATACCAGTAGTCATGGCTTTGATTTTTTTCTGATTGGATAATCAATTTAAAGAGTTTTACTTCTTGAAGCAACTAAAACTGTATTCATCAAATGCCTACTAAAAGGAAGCTAATACATTTGTATTATTACTAGAGTATACAAACCGTTGTTGCTTTGTAGATTGTTTTTGATTATTCCACAAATATTTAAACATAATAAAATTCCCAAAGTATTTAGTTATTTTCAGTCATATAGACTTTTGGTATTTTATCGTCATAAACTGTTTTATGTTCTTGTGTGCTTATGCTCTAGTGTACTCGGGGTATGATTTGTAAATGATTATATTCTTTATAATTCCATTTGAGAAGTAAGAAATCTCTATATGCGTATTGTTAACACAACTATTAACTAACCGAAAATTTTTTAAGTAATGAAATTTCTGTTTATAAATTTTATTCTTCAGCTATTATCCCAGAGATATATGACCTCACATTGCGGAGGAAAATTGAAAATAAGAGATTCTACACTGATTTCTCAACGCAATTATTTTCATCAAACAAATGTATAAATTCATTCAGCTCGTTTAGTGAAATAACATTAGATCAGCTTATTGAAACATTGATGGATAATAGACCAAAGATTACCATCACAAAATCGTATTTAACGCATATATTCCTGATTCATACAAAACCTTATCATTTAGATTATTTTAGAAAAGTAAGCAAATGCAGATTATAAAGTCATTATTGTACGTTGTATACCAGTAGCTAAAGTTTATAGCAAGAAACTAGAAGCTAATGTTAACAATAAATGTAGTCATTTTTTGATCCAATTAACTTGAACTCACTGCAGTGGATGTAAAATTGTCTTAAAAGAGTAGACAAAACTACTGTCTTACCAAGAATATATATATAGTCATTAGAAAATCTCCTTTGTTTAAAATGTTTTCTTATCTGTCGTAGGGTTCATACTAATACAGACACCAGCAAATGGGTGAGTGGAAAAGGGTATGCATTAATAAAAGTGATCAGTGAAAAAAGGAATAACATTTTTAACGGTGTAAAATATGTTCTCTTTATCGAGATTAGATGGTGGTTGGAGGTAGTCGACAGGAAACCCTAGACATGGGTTTCATGCCACTTGGCACTCGTCAGCAAGGTGTACCTGTAATCTTGAGGGAACTGGTGCTCTTTGACGGATTAAGTCCCGTGTCACCCAGCTCCACAGTCAGAGAGGTTACCACTGAGCTATCCGGGCCGCGATCAACCTCCTGTAGGACTGAGATGTAATCACAATTGATTGATCACTGGGTGGTGATCAATATCATGTGTATCAAGTCCTTATTTAGTGCAGATCGAATGCTATCGACCATGTTGCAATGTGGCCACTAGCATAGGTCACTCGACACTTCGTGAACTATATATTGAGATTAGATGGTGGTGATAATGTTCCCTTTATCCTCTGTTCCTCTGCCTTACGACCAATCAGAAACGTATTTTCCTAAACTTATGATAAAGAGTCTAATTTCAGCAAGGATCGATAGATACTGTAATTTGTCGAATTTGGTAACGAATTATTATTATTACCCAAGCCAGGTTGTCTTATACGTCTATTTCGAACAAATAGAATATAATCTATTTAAAGGGATGTTTGTTTGTGTAGAATTCCTTACAGATCGAGAATTTGTCAAACGATTTCGGGTGGCCGAAAATGCAGACGTCACAGACTTGTTAACGAATAGATATTTGCAGTGAAAATGTACTGATACATAGAATAAATTAGCGTCTATTTGTTTTGAAATAAAATATTTGAGCAGATTTCTAGATGAAACAGTTGTATATAAAGTCCAGAACAGATAAACATCCCTTTAAATAGATTATATTCTATTTGTTCGAAATAGACGTATAAGACAACCTGACTTGGGTAATAATAATAATTCGTTACCAAATTCGACAAATTACAGTATCTATCGATCCTTGCTGAAATTAGACTCTTTATCATAAGTTTAGGAAAATACGTTTTTGATTGGTCGTAAGGCAGAGGAACAGAGGATAAAAGGAACATATTTTACACCGTTAAAAATGTTATTCCCTTTCTCACTGATTACCTTTATTAATGTGCCCCCTTTTGATGGTCGCCCTTAATATCATAAGCACTTTTTATCTGTCCCTTTTTACACTCGCCCTTTGATAGTTGTCCTTCCGCTCGTTCCTTTTTGAACGGATACCCCACCGATTATGCAAAACTATTCATTGATAAGTATGTATGTTTGGGAGAAAATAGCTTTTTATGTATTTGGTGACTGTGGGAATAAATAAATAACTGTGTTCTAAGCAATTAATAAATAAGAACTTTCGTCTAAATTTGAACGAATAGTTTCACAATATTTGGGCGTCTAGTTAATGTGAGACATTAAAGAGGATGATTTTGTTGTTTGATTATATTTTCCTTGATAAAGCTTGGACCAGATTGCCAGGCGAAACGTTGGATTTACTTCAAATTCTTTCGTTGAGATTTTACAAATACATTCTTCCTCTTTAATGTGTTCTAAGCAATTCGTTATTCTATATAATTCAAATAATTGACCGCTGTATTTTAGGAGTGTTCGTCTTTCACAGTTTTACACTTTTCGAAAACGTTTCTACTGGTTATTTTGTATGCCTTTTAATGACCCTAATTTGATACTATGAAGCAGCAGTGAACTACATGTGTGTATAACCTAAAATCTATGTATCCGAATATATCAACCTATCAGTAACTAACAAGTCCATAGAAGACTGAGTAACTGTTAATTCTCGACGATATTCATAATATTTTTATTTACTTATGAAATTATTTATCGAGATAATAATGCTTGTACTATTGTTCCTAGAAATCTTTTATATCTGAAGTTATATTCCAGGTTACTAGGTGATCATTTCTTGAATTCGGTTGCTGGCAGGAATAAAAAGATAATAACATAAATATAAAAAACGATTCTGCATAGTTTGGCATAAAGTTATCTACTTTATGGATTACTTTTGCAAAATAACTAGTTAGTCATAACTAATTTCGTCTGTCATTTTTAGAGTAGCTTCTGAATGAAAGAAATTATCGTCTCTTAACTGATATATTTTTCTGGCGTGACTAAAAAGCCATGTGATCGAGGAGCAGCAATCTCTATTGATTGGTTTTAACTTTGAAATACAAAATGTGGCGTGAAATCACTTGAACTGATGGTCATATAAAGCATTCAGTCAAGAAAATCTGTCTATCGCTGAAGGCTAGATGGTCCGACATTTCAAGTCTAGTATCCATTTATCGGTTCTGAATTATGTTACTGGGACACAAATATATCCATTTTCGAATCTTGGATACAATTTAAGTTTAGATCTTGCACATGAATTTTGATGATGTCGTTATGTAGAGGTTTCTATTGATTGTTTTTATTTGGTTAAAAGCTCGAACCCTTCACTAAGTAAATTCATGTCTATGTATTAAGAAGATCATGCCCTACAAGGCTTGGTAGACTGACCAGTTAAAGAGCATTAGAATTTCTCTGACTACTGTCTTACAATTTTCATAGGATATTGTTAACATTAAGGCCTAGGTCTGGTTTTTTCCCTTTTAATTATACAGGTTTTTGAGAAATCTAACATTACAAAGGACTACTATTGGATTTTTGATGAAATTCCTGATGTGCCTATTAGAGATCTATTAAATCTTATTGATTCATCAAGTGTTACTAAAATGAAAGTGGGATTTTTTCGACAGTTTCCTGTGTTAAATTTTGACGATCTGTCAAGACATGAATTGCAAAAGGGCACTCAGTTATTGATTAAATCTGCATTGCATGGAGAAACGCATAGTTTGCCTGTAAGATTTTGTTTTTTAGTTATTTTTGATGTTAAGGTGAACTAAGTGTTAAATTGTATCAATATATTAACACAAATCTATTTCATACCATATACAAAAATTATAAGTTGATAGAGAGAATTCGTTGCATAGCACTTAAAGCTCATTTGTATTTTGTGTTTAACAAAAAAAATACATTGGTAATTTTACCTTTCATGCTTATTAAGTTAATTAGCAAAATAAGTTTGGATCCTTTGATTCGATTACAAAACAGGTATCCAGTATTCTTATAAATTCGAACAACATATGTAAGCGAACAATTGTTTCCATTTAGATCGTCATCAGGCTTTACTCTGATATATATGAATATTTATACGAAAATGTTAAACCAATCAAGGGAATTTAGGTCAATAATCACAATGAAATAGAATAAGTCACCACACAGAATAGGTAAAAAAACATGTTGATAGTAGGAAGACAGGTGTAGATAGTGAAGAACACGAACGGAAAGAGTCAAAAATTGCAAACAAATATTCGGTGTGAAAATAATGGTAGCGATAACAAAACTAAAATAAAAAGTCGTTTGTTAAGTTATAACCGGCCATGGAAGTGAAAGAAAGTCACGAATTTTTTCTGTACACATAAACTGGGGTTAAATGTACGAATTCCTATAGCTCCAGCTATATGTAGGAGATGGGATCGAACTCCGTTGGGAAATGATGGAGGTATATGATAGGTCACTCGAAATGCTTCCGACTTATCTACATTATGACCGCTATCAATAAGATGTGCCAAGATAGAACTGCGTATTGTTTTTATCTAGCCCTTTATAAACCAAGCTGGTCGATGTTCACTCATTCGTTGGTTAAATTACCTGGTAGTACGTCCGATATAACTATCTCCAAAGGAGCAGCTGAATTTGTAAATGCACATTGAGGGGGCCAACTCAGATAACTTATCCTTCGTTTGAGTAGACATCGCTGGTCGATGACGATCTAATTGAAAACAATTATTCGCTTACATGTGTTGTTCTAATTTTCACAAAGGGAATCTTAAATATTCTTATAAATACATTAACTATGAGTATATGATTGTAATTAATATCTGCTTGATCATAAAAATTTACCTAAATTTATTTGTAAAATAGAAAAGATCCAATTTATTTAAAGTTTATTTGATCAGTGTTTCAATGCACAACTAGGATATAATGATGAAAACTTTTGTCTGTAAGTTGGCTTTATTGGTAGCTATAAGAATTATGTAAATCGACGTATGAATACATTATCCACGCTGAACTTATAAAATGATTCGTTTATCATATTTTTACAAAAGCAGCTAATTCGTATTAACCATATCACACCAATTGATTTAAATGGGATTTTGTTTCTCAGATCACATATTTATTATTATTCTTTAGAATATTAGTTCAAGGAATTCCAAATTAAATAGGGATTTGATGGACTTCGTATTGTATCATACGTTAACATTACATGACAAGTCGACTGACCTTTGATTTCTCGAATGGTAATATGCACACAGTCAGAAACGTTACCACTGAGCTATCCTCCTGTAGGACTGAGATGTAATCACAATTGATTGATCACTGGGTGGTGATCAATATCATGTGTATCAAGTCCTTATTTAGTGCAGATCGAATGCTATCGACCATGTTGCAATGTGGCCACTAGCCTAGGTCACTCGACATTGCGTGAACTATGGTTAGATTAGATGGTGGTTGGAGGTAGTCGACAGGAAACCCTAGACATGGGTTTCATGCCACTTGGCACTCGTCAGCAAGGTGTACCTGTAATCTTGAAGGAACTGGTGCTCCCTGATGAACCCAATCCCGTGTCAACCAGCTCCACAGTCAGGGACGTTACCACGTGCGTACAGAAAATGAGTTAATGACTTTTATTTGTATTGGGGTGAAGTAGTTTAACTGAGCAGAAATTGTAATTCACTTCTATGATTGAAATTTTATTAAAAATATGAACAAAACAAAATTTGCTGGGAACGTTTGTATTAACTGAAAAATTCCATTATTGAGTGCATTCGCACTGGTTGAAAATAATGATTTCATTAGCTTATTCCGTTCATGTATAATTGATTATGTCCATAACTGGTGATTATTTGGCATTTCTAAATCAGATAATATTTTATCTAATTGACAATTTTATTGCATTTCCAAATTCTTTTTTAAATATTTTCTAATGAAATTGTAGTATCTGTTTTTCAGGAACGTGTAACTATTGCAGCTTATATGATAATGATTAGCAGTCAGATAGCAACCTTTATAAAATCATTTAACAGTTCATACTTGAACCGTAGTGGTATAAGTTGCCATCAAATCAACCCAATTGTGGACGACTTTGGTGGTAGGTTGTTTTATAACTTTCTCAGTCATGTAAGTTTTTTAGTGCTTATTCAAACATTATTTTTGATATAAAATAACTCTGTTGTGAATTATGGCGTGTTTTTAATAGAAAAAGCTGTAACTGTTGTACATTAACCGTTATTAGGTCTAATATTGATTAGTAGTTAAGAGGTTTTAGTTGCTTCGGATTGTTTTCAGTGGTAATAAGATCAAATATAATGAAGAATTATTCGATAATCCAAGATATTTTTCTACTTACTAAGTAAACTAACTTCCTATAGGTTATAAATGATATTTAATTCAAATGCATACACACAAAAATAAGGATAGTGAGGTAATTATTCAGTTGTATAAGCAAGCCTCCTGAATAGAACTGAGATTTCGGTTAATTTTTTAGAACGATTCTGTAACATTTGTATACATATCAAGTTTAGCGAAATTTGTTTAAGATTAGTTAACTGGATATCAATCACAGTCAGTTTTACTATCAATTTTACCTGGTTTCTGTTGTCTATTATTAATCCATCTGAGATTATAGTACAGTATGATAGTTTAGGTTAGGTATAGGACACTAGAAAAGTGGGTTAGTATATTAGTTAGGATATAAACTTTTATCGACTGAAGTGGTTAGGAAACATGTATTAAGCAGATCGAATAAATAATGTTGCCTAATTTGGTTGATTTGGCATAATATTAAGGGTAGGCGAATTAAGATTTGGGATAGTTCTGAGACGCTAATCATTTCTAGTTTCATTAATGTTGCTATGTGCATATTCTGTGGTTAGAACTCATGTTATACTCGTAGTGAGTGGTGTGAGACGTTGAATGGGATTAGGGTAGAGCAGTTAGAAGTGATAGGATTGTATTATTTCTTCGTCTTGTTCTAAACATTGAATAACTCGTGACCTATAACCACTTGTTTGTCTATCTCATTCGTGTTTTCGAAGTGTATTTCCAAGCTTGTTTATTTATTTATATTTATTTGAACACATAAATATTGATACAGAGGGGCACCAAATACATATGCACCACACAGTAACAATGAGAATGTGAAGAGATGGAGAATGTAAAGTAAGTATAAGAAAAAGGGGAACAATAACGAACAGAAATTAGGGTATGAAACTGAAATAATGGGACAGACAGTTCAGTTAGCAAAAGTACGACCGGAAAGAATTCTTCCAGTTAAAGAAGTTACGTCCATTAATTTTTTATGAAGAAAGTAAAAGAAAGTTACAGCAGAATCGCCACTGGCTTCTATTTCCGAGCCATGTCTGATATTGTCTCAAGCCAATGTGTTGTACCATCTCTAGGACCACAACCAGAGAGTCGTGAAGGACTAACACAAGCCAGTCATGTACAGCTTTCTATCATAATACGACATCATGTCATACACTAACCAACTCTACGCTTTTCCCAACTGGTCCCATCATGAGCAAATAATACACGAGGTAAAATTCTCTGGGACGACATTCGTATCACTTGTCCGAGCCACCGAAGGCGAAGTTTCAAGATAGTAACACTAGCTGAATTATCGTCGCTGTGTTCGAACACACGATGCAAGCCCCTGCATTACTAACATAGCGTTGACACTGGATGTCAGCAATCCTTCGGAGACAACGATGATCAAACACAGAGTCGCCTAATATCCTCAAATCAAATAGGGCAGGTTTCACAAGCAGAGATAAAACTGATCTAACCGAAGCTCTGCAGATCCAACCATTTTCAGCAAGACTATCATCACAAAGGCGCCAAAGATGACCCACATTGGCATAAACCGCTCTGGCTTTCATTATTCGTGAATTGGTCTCACTGCTCATGTCACTACCAGCACTTATGCAGCTACCTAGATACACGAACTTCTCGACTACTTCTATCTGTTCACCATACAGGGTGGGTGCCAACTGATTAAGTGCGGATTGCATGGTTTGGGTATCATCGCACAGTAAGGCAATATCACCTGCATACTCAAGATCGAGAAGGCTTTCTCCAGGCAACAGATCCACACCACCATCAATTACATTCATCAGAGCTGTTTCCAGAATGTCATCGACGGCAAAGTTGGAGAGGAATGGTGCGATTGGGCAACACTGGCTAACCCCACTGCTCGAATGGAACAATGGAGAGAGGTGGTTGTATGCCCTCACTCTGCCTGAGGTGTTTGTATATAAGGCTTTCAGGATGTTAATAAACTTCTCAGACACCCCCTTCGTCAATAGACAATCCCAGAGAACAGTCCTATCCAACGAATCGAAGGCAGTCCTGATGTCAAGGTACACTACGATCGTTGGCCTCTGATAAGTATGGCGGTGTTCTAACATTCGGCGGAGGGTGAAGATATGATCAATACATCCTCGACCAGAACGAAACCCAGCCTGCTCCTCGCGAGTCAACCATTCTCGGGTTTTGAACAACCTACGAAGTATGACGGAAGCCAATAGCTTGGACGCAATCGGAAGTCGACTTATCCCCCGATAATCGTTACAGGAACGACGTGAACTCTTTTGAAAGATAGGGATAACTATCGACTCATTCCATGACGTTGGTACACTCTCTAGCTCCCACACCTTTGTAAACAACGTCGTCAGTTCCTTAGTCAAAAAGTCACCACCATCTTTAAAAAGAGCCGGAGGTAAGTCATCTGGGACAGGTGATTTGTAACGCTTCAATAGTTGGGGTTTCTTGCGGACTTCCGCCCCATTTGGTGGATCAGTCGTCACCGGCCATGGAGGGCAGGGCAGTCTGACCGATGTTGCCAGAGCAGCAGGCCAGTTGAACTGCCCTTCGAAAAATTCTGCCCACCGTCCAAGACGTCGATGGATGTTAGTGATTGGCATCCAATCATTCTCGCAGATTGTTTCGCTCACACCAGACGTCTTGCTGCCAGTGGCTCGGATGACTTGGAAGAGCTTCCGGTAGTTACCAGATGCAGCTGCTGCTTCCAGCTCATTAGCACGCTCCGACCACCGGGCTTCTCGGTCCTTACGCAAGCTTTGCCCAATTTCCTTACGTAACATCCTTCGTTTGTAGTCAAACTAACGGTCACTCGGAGTAGACCGACCGGCTTCGATGAGGTGTAAGAAGACTGAAAAAACCCAGTGCTTATAAGCGGAACGTTTCGCGAAGCCGCAAGCGGCTTTACTCGCCATTTTTATGGCGTCGTGCAATTGCAACCAATGCTCATCTATACTTTTCGGTGGAATGGTAGTTAGCCTAGAGGCTAGCTCGGTTCGATACTTAGTACCAACAGAAGTCGCAACTAGCTTGCTATTATCAGTCCGTTGATGGCGGTCACTTCGTTGATTACTGTAAAGTAAGGAGCTTTTTCTAGCCAGAAACAGGTTGTGGTTTGTGCTCAGTTGCAGTAGACGGTCACCGTTACTTGGCCTGCCACTGATAGGTTTTTATCTGCCACCCAAGCCACTTTCCTCTGTGCCTAGACGCCCAACCTGAAAATTCAAGTCTCTAGCTTGTAGTACAATACCTGGCGAACGCACGTTCTATGGAAGTACGATTCACTGATGGTAGAACTCATCCTTGATCACATTCGGGCTTCAACTTGTCAAAGCGTGGGCGGAGATGACGAAAAGACATCGCTTCTTACACCGGTTCTTTCTTACTTTGGTGGATTTTTCTAATCTAACAGCACATAACCGACTGTCATTGAGGATCCAATCGATCAGTGATGCCTCAGCTTTAGCGCTTAGTGCGACACCGAGGCAAGCAAAACGAGATGAAGATGTCACAGGGTCCCCAGATATACTCATGTGAAACAAACGTTTCGAGGTGAAATGTGGAGAGCAAGTTCGTGGTACTTTTCCAGAGTTTTGAATACGGGTCTTGGATAGACAACAGGTATCGATGTTGAGACTTTCTAAAGACATACCCAACCCTGTCTGTTGTCTGATCTGCACTAGTATGCAAACGTTGAAGGAGGCCAGTTTGAATGGTATAAGTGGTTTCAGAAGGATTGGTTCAGTATTCGTAGTCGGTGGTAGCATTCAACTTTCGACCAGTCAGTGACTTGAGATAGTTTAGATAGGACAGGGTTTCCACCATAGGCGATCTGCTGTATGAGTTGGAAAATAAGAATTCACAAACTGAGAATAGAAGAGAGCAGATAAGTGACGTTGTAGATAGGAAAAATAAAAATCAGTGTTATCCAATGAATGCGAACTGTCTGATTTTTAATTGGAGCAAGAATAGTATTTCCTGTAGTAATTGTCATTTTATATGATTTGTATGTGAGCTGTGATACTACCCGGGTGCCCGAACCGGGGCAGGTGGTTTGCTTAGGGGGTTACACATTGAGTCTTCGACCTAAAGGTCTAATCCACAAAGCAGTGGAGCAATGCTAGGAGATGCAGTCCCATGGTATCCGGTGACCAAAAATAGATTCATTCGCTTTTTGCTTCCTCAGGATCCTGGAACCCATGTTCACCATTCGTTTGGAATCAGGGGTTTCCAACTCCCCTAGGTAGATCCTCTGTATCCACCAACCCGGTTAAACCACTGAACATTCGCTTTTTGTCTTCTCAATTTTGTAGACGTCACCCTCCCTTCGAGAAGGTAAGATAGGACTTCCTTGACAGTGGCTGTATGCACGTGGCCATTAGAAAGCATTTCGAAAGGGAGAGCGGACTTTCCCCAACCTCGACCGTACCAGGGCATTTGGAGCTTATATTTCCCTCTTCTGTCCAGATCACTCTGAACCTTGTGTTTCCCATCATGTTAATTCTCTCTCATTGTACGGGTCTAATGTATGGCAACTTGGAATAATAAATATTTGTGTCAAGTTTATAGTTGAAGATAAATAACTGGTTGAGACAAATGATGAAGAAACGCGTCTCCATTATATTTAATACCGAACAATGTAGATTCTTCGGTAAATCGTCAGGAAGTGAGATGCAATTTCATCCTTTTTATTTCTTTAAAAAATTTCTTGCATTAATTGTTTAATAAGCTATATGGTGGAATGAAGTTGTAAAGTGCTAGTAATTGAATTCTGCCTCAATGAGTGAATGATATCTTTTTCATCTGGAGACCTCAGAGTTTCAGGTTTGGTCTCTTGTGTGGTTATAGGTTCTGTAGAGCAACAAACCTGTTTGAAAAAGCTGCTCATTGCTTCCTAGTTTTCAATAGTTGGTCAGTGTGTAAAAAAGAACTAAATTAGGGTTTGAAAAACCTCCAGGAATACCAATACAAATAATGAAATTTTAAATGAGAGTGTTCATTGGAATGAATTTATGTGTCACTTCTCACTACTTATGAGTTGGTCATCTCAAAAATTAGTTTCCAATAAGCATAAACTCTTCTGATAAGTCATAAAATAATACTGAAGAACTTTTATCTAAACTGCAGTAATGAAATACCTAGTCGTATGAAATATTCTCTAACTAGTGCTAGAGAATAATCCTCTGCTTAATAATGGCCATCTCTTTCGAATTAATTATCCCGTAGCTCTGGTCAACTGTTCCTACACGCCATAATTTATTGTTTACTGAAATAAATAGTTCATTTTGTTCATTATTTATTCTGTCTTTTTTTAAAAAAAGAGTATAACTTGCTTCTGAACTTAGTTTAGATCTATCACCTTCGAGTGTTAGATTTATTATTTATTACTATAAATGATCGTTTTTTACCTCGTTAATTCAAAATGATTGCAACATAGTCCCATATACTAAATGTAGTAATATGAAATCAAGTAAAATTTATAGATTTATATTGGTTATTATCTTCAGAATGGAGGAACTGGTATTTCATTTGCATAATCTCAGTGTTCGCTTACTGTTTTGCTCAAATGCTAGAGGTCTGGGACTAATGTCTGGAAATCTTTATGGTTTTACTCACTCGAAACGTTTGATGATGCAATCAAAAATTTTATATCCACTGCTCATTATACTCCTGATGACAATATGAAACTTACAAGTAAAGGAATGAAAATTAAGCAAAGAAGCTTGGAAAGTGGTCTATTTTCAACTGTCTTTCAGTCATTTAATAACAAAATTCTTCGAATATCAACAATTCTCGTAAGTACTTGATTAACTTAAGGCTTTTGTTTTAAAAATGTTTGATTGATGAAAACTATGAGATAAAACATTTGTTGAATGTTCAGCGAAAGCATTGATCCCTACAGCCTTAGGGTTGCTACTAATCTTAGTTTGATATGATGGTATACATATGCGGTCAAGTTCTTTGTAACATTCTTACTGTCATTATTTGAGTTCCCATGAATAAGCAGACAGTTTCTGACCGAATATAGAAATTACCGCACCATAAACCCTAACAACGTTACATTTAATAAAACGACTGTTTTACTTTATTTTAACTCCCTTCTTAAGGATTGTGGGATACAAGCAATGCGTGAAGGTCGAATTTAGTTCAGGATTTTTGCCAACTCTACAATAGTTCGTAGAGAGTCAATACCAACACTATCTTAATAATACCGAGGTTTGGAAATGTTTGGTTGCGCTCATTGATGATAATTCAGTCAGTGTCACCATCTTAAAATACTAGATTCTGTAGCTTAAACATATATCTTTTCAGTGATTTCTACACTGCTGCATTTCCAGAATCTGAAATTGGCTGAAAAAAGCTTGGAGGTGGTTAGCTTATTACATATCACAGGTTCCTGAATGAAGGCTGTATAGGACTGGAATCTGTTGGTACATCTCAATTTCCTGGTTGGGATCCGAGAGATGGTGCAATTCACTGACATGAAGCGTTATTAAATGTGGCTTATAACAGGGACCAGCCACAGTCCTACCGTAGGTTTTTAATCCTACTTATAAAAGCAAGAGTAAGTTACGTAACTGAATACATTCTTTCTGGTTGCGTTTTCAACTGAACTACCTCTCTCACTATAAGTTATTTTTGTTCACTCATTTTTATTCACTATTTATTTTAATTATACAATTTCCCCTCTATATTTTTTCTCAATCTCATTTTCTTATGTTTGTGGAGCATGTTTATTTTGGAGTTCTATTATGCCACTATATATACGTTTTAAGTAAAATAAATTAAAAAAAACTAAAGCTAATGAATAAATGCCTTTTAGTTGATTTTATACACTGATCGCTTCAGTCTTGAACGTTTATTTGTGTAAGTTGTTTTATTGGTCAGTTTCTAATTTGAGGGGAAATATTAGCTGTTTATTTCCTAGTTTCATAATGTAGTCTCCAAGTTCTATAAAGATGTTTTTCAAACTTAGCTATTTGCTAGCTCATTTCCAGATTTGACATTTAACACTCTCAGAGGATCACCATACTTACTTTCTTACGCCTGTTACCCCTCGTCGAGGAGCATAGGCCACCTACCAGCATACTCCATCCAACCCTGTCCTGGACAATCCTTTCCAAATCTTTCCAGTTGTTATTCATTCTTTTCATATCTGATTCTATTTCCCGATATAATTTTTTCTATGGCCTTCCTCTTTTCCACTTCTCTTCAGGATTTCAAGTTGGGGCTTGCCTCATGATGCAGTTTGGTGATTTCCGTAATGTATGTCCTATCCATTTCTATCGTCTTTTCTTAATTTCCTCCTTAGCTGGAAGTTGGTTTGTTCTCTCCCACAGAAGGCTGTTGCTGATGGTATCCGGTCAATGGATGTTGAGTATCTTGCGTTGACAATTATTTATAAATACTTGTACCTTCTTGATGATGGTTGTGGTAGTTTTCCAAGTTTTAGCTCCGTACAGTAGAACTGTCTTGACATTCGTATTGAAGATTGTGACTTTCATATTGGCTGACAGATGTTTTGAGTTCCATATGTTCTTCAATTGTAGGAGGGTCACCATAATACAAATTTATTTAATATGAAAAGAAAATTTTTATTAGGTGTATGAACTACTCAGACTCACAATTCCTTACTTCTTTGCCATATAAAAAATAGCTATCCAAAATGTTTCGATTTCGTTTGTTTCTGATATACTTTTTCAGTAACTTTGATGTAGATGCAAATAGGTAGATAGTATTGTTGCTATTTTGAAATAGGCAGACGCTGAAAGAAAAGTCGTGCTTTTAGATTCTGTCAGACAGTCATTTCTAATAGAAATTCTAGGATTTTCTGTACATCTATAGAAATTCTACTGTGTATGTAAATCGACTAAACAGTGGTTGTTATTACCTGGTTATTTTGTTCAACAGGATCCTCCATTTGTTGTCACTGGTCAAGTAATTGAAAACGGAGAAATAATCAACGCTTCAGGATTTGCAATTGATATACTAAATGAATTGGCTATGCATTTCAATTTTAGGTAAAATATTTCCTTATAAATGTATACCGTTACATATGATGTCACAGTTGACAAAATTTTCGAAATAATTAATTATAACTTAGATTGTTTCCGATTTTCAAGCAGTTAATTTTCCTCGTTTTCGCACGTGTAATGAATCCATTCTGCATACAGGTGGTGTTGAACCATTGTATGAGTTGTTGACCTCAAGGTACAAAAAGTAAGGTGAAGTATTCATAAGTAAGCCGACTTAATGGTCGTTATTAAATTATAGTCAAATTTTTGGGGCAGAGTTGAAGGTATGCTGATCTTCAGTGATCTTCATTGACTTGGTTTATAGCGATATCCATCTATTGGAAGTGTTTACTGATAACATTCATTTCTTAATCCTTACAGAAATAAGTCATCTACGTACACAGCTTCGTTTAAAATCAGTGAAAGTTTCCAAATTGAGCTAATTTTTACTGTTCTATCATAAACAATCAGAGGGAATTCACATTCAGCCGACTGATATTTTAACAAGTGATGCGGACTTTCAAATGAATTTAAGATCCAGCTTAAATGTAAATAAATAGATACAGTTATTTTAGTAAAGATAAAGAACATATCTACCACTATATTGACCACATTTATGGTTCAAAGCACTGTCAAACAGTTTTTAGATTCAGAATTGGTAGCAGTTAAAAACCTTCAGCTTAGACATGAATATTCTCCACCTAACCATGAATGATTTTTTAATAATTAGCAACATTATTTTCCTTGATTCTCCCATAAATTTAACTTTAATGAATTCAGATTTATTGAAATATTCCCATTTATTATGATTAGAGATATATTAGATTCAAATAGCATATTCTTTAGAATGTAGATTGGAAAAGAGATTTCATGTGTGGAATTTCAAGTCTGAAGTCAACGAACTTTTGAACATTGAATAGACGTTACTGAAATATTAGACTTTTTAACGATACCAATTGATATAATTCCAATGTATTTTTCTAGCATAAATTCTTATTTAGTGTATATTTTTCCTTCTAGAAACTGGAAAACGAATAGCTTGAATTTAAAGTGTTAGTTTCTGAAAATAATTTAGCTAACATTTGCATTTTTCGATGAAACAGACAACTGTAAACCATTAAACTACAAATATAAATCACTGGTTCTTTTATTATTAACCTTTTCAATGTCAATAGATATCGCCTTTTCTTACCACAGAACGGTACGTATGGCTCACTGGATGAAAAAGGAGATTGGGATGGCATGATGGGTGAATTGGTAAATGGAGTAAGTAAAGTATAAAAACGTCTAGTTAAACTCTTATTTAATGAAAAGAGCAAGAACAAAGACTCTAGCAGAATAGTACGAATTCATTTTATTTCGTAGGTTCTCGTCAGCTGCTTACAACCCGTGATATTTAAAAATCATAATTACATAATGGGTTTAAATTGCTTACTGAATATTGTAAATATATACCTAATGTGAAAGAATATTCTACAAGATTAATTGTGGCAACAGTTCGAAAGTGGGTTAGAAACAATCGATTACATAATGAACACGTCAAGATTTTAGAATTTCTCAAAGGGACAGAAAATAAAATCGTGGAGAAAGCTTGTTACAAGTATTGGTACCAATAGTTGTTTTTTATTCAAACTATAATCTTTTTTAATTTTTGTCAAATTAATAGCTACCGAGTATATACATAACGTCTGGACTCATCTTTCATAATGCTTACTATAACCCCGGGTAAGGATCCCAGTATCGTAAGAAACTATATGTAGTTTAGCTTCCAAATCAGTGAATCGTTTTAGTGATGGTTCTAATTTTATTGTTCTTTGTACAATGTGTATAATAATTCTCAGAACCTTCCAATGTACTTTTAAAATAAATCTCAATGATCTTTGTCGTTACTTGGAGGATAGCTGTACATGAGGAGATAAGCAACTGCTTATTAAGAGGAGTATAATTTTTATATTAAGAATAATAGTTATTTGTATTAGGATAAAAACAACATTCTGATTGTCAATCATAAAACTCCCAACAACTTGTCGTAAAGAAATTATGTGACGGACTAGTGAATTTTTTCCACATGATGACCGATTTCGTATGGTCCTTGTTCTGTATATCGTTTCCTGACATGTCATAACATATCATTATTGTAGATGGGTACATATCAGTATAACTATGTCGTTAAATGAACTGGTTAAAAGTGTTATTTGTTTTAGTGAAAATATTTACACTGAATAACTGAAACACCAATCATGATCAATATATTAGTAGTATGTATTTATTTGAAAATGATATATGGTAATGTACTGCTGTAAGCTGGTAGAGTTTAGTCGATAGTTAGTTCGTTTGAGAAGTGTAGATGAGCTCTGGATGAACCGTAAGTTTTTCTTAGAAATGAAGCATCTAATTTAGGTTTTATTAATTTATACAATGTTTGGAATATATAGAATTTTAGAAACTATCATTTCCTCTAAATCTTCGAACATATAAATATAATGTAAATGAATACGTTGACTATTTACACATGTTTCACTAAAATTATAATTTCAACATTCTCAATTACTTAGTATTTAAACATCTTACTTCTAGATCTAAATTTTATTGTAACGTTTGTTAGTTCAAAGAATCGTGAGCAATTTAGAAAGATACTAGACATCAAATACTATTTAGTTCAAAAGACTACTTGTTGTCTGTATCCTTATACCCAACTATTCATAGATGAGTATATCAGATTTTTATCAGACAATTTTATGTTTTCAAATTGTTACCAATGCGTGTTATCAATAGTTCTAGCAACTTTGAGTTATGCATTACAATTATCTGTAAAGATTGAAAATTTTAACCAGTGTCAAATCATCATTTTTCAATTAAGAAGTGTCCTCATATCTGTGAAAACTTATCGGTGTTATTTCTGTCATGAGAGATTGTGTTAATGATTATTTAAACTGAAGCAGGTTACTTGACTAACAGTTCAATCATCATATTTCATAATGGTTTAATGTATATCATTTTCTGTACTAATTAAAGATGAATATTTTACTACCCAGTTTTTCTTATTTACTGATTATACATATCAGCGAGTTGATATGATAGCTGCTGGTTTGACAATCAATCCAAGAAGATCGAATTATGTGGAATTTATTGGTCCGATTGTTGAAGATACAGTTGGAATACTTGTAAAACCATCAACAGCAAATTATCTTTTCTTTCAAATGTTTCATCTATTTCAAATTAATGTTTGGATAGCAATTACTAGTTCAGTGGTTATTCTTGGAACAACAGTTTGGTTATTCAATAGGTATAGTCCATTCAGTGGATGGAATTTACAACTTCCAGAAGCTAACTCAAATGAGGTATCTCTTTCCTACAATATATGGATTTCACTACGTTGTATGCTTCTACAAGGTAAGCTTTAAAACTCAAATAATTCTAAAATATCATATATTACGTTTTCGAGCCATTAATGATTTACCAGCGTTTTACACGTTTAATTATTGTCTAGAATCAGAATTTTTTGGATAAACATTTGAAATAATTTTTGCAAAAGCGTTTCATTGTCTATGTTGAAATCTAGGACGGAGTTCATTGCCAATAAACAAGTTCATTGAAAGAAATTGATTTATTTGACAGGTCATCAGTTTGAAGCATGTTTAAATGATAATAAAAAGTAGAAGCATTAAGAATACTCACTGATATCTGTGTTTATTGGGTGCATTAACAAAAGGTTAGTAATTTGGGTTATTAAAATAGTCACTTACTTTCTACAACGTGTGACCAACACAATGTTAATGTGTCTTGTAATAACCAATCTACTTTGTTGTTTCTTTTTCAAATGATGCACCTTCTGTTCATAGTTTAAAACTCAGATTTATTCCCATCATTGACGAAGATAATGGAACGAGCACTTTAGAGATCCTCCTTGTCCTATTTATAAATAAGGCTTCATATAATTGTGCTGTTTACTCAACTCAGTGATTTTTTTATTTGAGCCATATTGTAGGATCATCATCTAGGTTTTTTTTATTTTAACCCGTAATCCTAGTATCAATTAATATTTTTAATTTTCTACAAAACGGTTTATTGGTTCTTTTAATCTATTTGTGCAATGTTTTGTTCGTCCTGATGTCAAGAAAACAGTCACCAAATAATATCATAATATGGAAATGCAATCCGAGATTCATTATTTTGTTTTGAAATATGTTCTGTTCATAAACCCTGATTTCTGTTGATCACCCTGTTGGCGAAAAATCACTACTCAGCGCTTCAGATGATAGAATATTTGGATATCCTCATGTAGTTGTCTTTATACGATCTATGATAATGTGTAAACTAGTTTTGTGCTTTATAAATCATTACTTTCGAAGTATGAGACCATTACGTAAATTTGACTTATTCTATCTAGTGTAGTTCATTAAAAAAACCTGTTGATGTGGGAAAGATAGGATTAAGTTCCTAATATTAAAATGGATGCTGGACCTGCGACAATAACACATTCTGTAACGACTCGGAAGGTCCTACAATAACAATTTAATGTTTATGCATATATATGTATATCGATTACTAGTATATCTGTGGTGTATGCTATTTATGCTGACAGAAATATAAGTAGTATGTAGCAGCAATTGAGAATGGAATGTCTGCCAGCAGAAGACTGAATTGAAGAGAAAAGGGAAATAGGGAGCAATTGTAGTAACTACATGAGTGGGAGAACCATGAAGCATGTGAAAGACAACTGAAAGAAGGTGTTCAAATAATGTATTGAGTGTTTGGTTTTTATATGTTACAATCGCACTCTGTAATTTTGCATTAAAGAGTAAATTAGTTGTCCCTAACTGAGTCTCGTTCACTACTTTTCTGTTTGTTTTCTTCTAGGACAAGAAGGCAGATTATTCTGTTTTTCGTCACGCACTTTGTGCTTAATGTATTGGTTTATGATTTTAGTTGTACACGCTATATGGCAGGCTGATTTAACAGCATTTCTAACAAAAAACAATCTTGAGCTTCCAATTAGTTCGTTAAAGGACTTGGCACACAATGATAAGATTATAGTATTAACTATGAAAGGAACTAGTACTTACAATATGTTTCAGGTAAGAAATAATATAACCAAATTATTTATTACAATTGCATATTTAATTGAGATATCAGCTTTGACAACTGACTAGTTTCCTTTCATAAAACAAATCATGTAATTAATATTCACTAATTCCTTGATATAACCCATTTATTAGAAAACAATGAAATCTCATTCCTACTGGAAATAATTACATCCTCATTAATTGAGCACAAAATTCAAATTTAGTAAGATTAGTGTTGAAACTGAGCATTTTTCATCGAGTCCAATACTAAATTATTCCTTTTTAAATGGCATTATATTCGTTTTTAATTGTCATCCTTATGAGGATAGCAAACTGTTATTTTCTTTTGTAAATATTATGATCAACTCATTTTCAGTTGGATGACCGCCATTTACGTGCTTTCACTTCGTATCATAGTCTGACTCTTGGCGGTGAGAATAAATGTCAGCAAAAATTTTCTCACTGAATATCGTGTACAGCTTTATGATATTTAAATAAGGTATAAAGTTGCTGGAAAGTTTTGGGCTAAACTAAAGCAGTATACCAATATGTTATCATGTAACTGAATCTATGGACCACAGTTTTTTTTACAGAGGACTCAAATGTCGAGTACCATGTAAATAATAGTTAAAATTCATCGTCTGTTACAAAGAATACCATGGTCTATATTTACGTTGTCAGTACAATATTTCCGAATTTTAAGCTTCTAATAATAAAATATGTATTCTTGTCTGAATATTTACCACACTGTCATACTGGTTACCTTTGTACTTTACTTGTTTACCCTTAGTTGACAAATTTATCAGTAACTTTCCACTAACCATTTACTGACAACGGCATCATAATTATTAAACGTGCTGCGGAAAAGATTTTTAACCAATTTAGAATGGACATAAATGGTTGAAATGTATCATAAGGTCTAAGTTTGTAAATAAACTACGCATTTTTAAACAGAAATTTACGGATGATGAGCAGATTTACAACAATTTTTCAATGTGAGCTCTTTGAAGATAAAACTATCTTCCTAATTCAATTAATGTGGACATACTACTAGTTCAAATGGTTCAAAAATATCTTACTAAAATTTTCAACATCTCTACAGGCAACCACATGAATTGAGAAAATTGATGTTTATATTCAGCGTTGTTAGGTGTATTTTTTACAGATAATATTCATCTACTCCTTTGTAATTATTTTCAATAGGTCTCAGTAAATAATACATTTTATGAATCCATATATAGAAAGCTGGTTGCAAATCCTGTTAGTGTATATAGTACAGACGAAGCAGTGAAGCTGGTGATAAAGTTCAATAATTATGTCTATATAACTGAAAGATTATTTCTTATGAGTGTACTGCAATCAGAGGAATGTTCAAATCTGGAAGTGATAGAAGAGCCTGGGATTGTAGCTGCTCTTGGATTCGCTGTGCAACTTGGAAAAGAGTATGCAAAACCTATGTCATCTTAGTACGTCTAATAAATATAGATCAGTTAATTATATATGAATAGTGTACTTGATTTTCATTGTTACGATATGCCAGATATTCAATAATGTCTTGTGATAAATATATGAATTTGTAAACCTCTGGTTAGTGAAATTGTTGATTTTTAGTATTTCTTAATTAATAAGTGATTACTTCTAATAAGAAAAGAGTTTGCTCAGCTTGCTACCAGTGGAGTGAGCCGTTTAATAAGCAGAAAAAACTTAGTGTTTTGAAAAAAAATCTGTAGATGTTAGAGATTTCTATTTCAGAACTATGTATTCCTAACATAAAAGATTTAGCCATTACCAATGTTATTTAAATCTATCAGATCAGATCTACTGTTTCTTTTGTAACGAAACAAAGTGAATGTGTATCATTTGAAAATACAAATTTAATCACATACGTTTAGTAAAATTGACTGAAGAAACAGTAACTCCAGAATTTAATTCTGTCTTATCACATCAGTAATTGATTGTTATATCAGGAATTGATTGTACATTATTTATTAATGAAAAATATGATTTTGCCAATGTTTATTTTGTCAAGTATGCTAACTTTGAGAGAGCGAGGCATAATCAACAAATTCATGGTAAAATGGAATATGACTTCTGATGTTGATCCTATGGATGTGCAATACCAAGCTCTGACAATATGGAATGTCGCCGGGGCATTCATCGTCACCTCAGTTTTTACTGGGATAAGTCTGCTTATTCTACTTGTTGAATGTATATGGTATAGATGGAGAAATAGAAAAAATATGGACACTAACAATAACAATAATAATAATGGTAGATAATGCTAAATTCACTAATACAGTTGACGAAAAAAGAATAATTCTTGGTATATTGCTTCATATTCTTTTTTTTAATGATTTTATGCAATTTACATTGAGAAAACCAATAAATTTTACAAATCTGTCTTATTACATGGTTTAGCTTCGGCTGTAGACACGCTTTTAATGTAGTACACGATTATCGTAAATGGAGTTTCTCTGCTTATCGATAATTTAATGTCAGGTAAACACTGAATAACAAAGCATCGGTTGGGCACAAATATATCTTGTCTTTCATTCATTCACTGGGAAATATATGTTTCAACACGATGATTTAGAATAATTCAAGTTCATAAAACCAGAAACTTTAGAAATTCGAATTACCATTTCATTTGAAAATTACATATAATTCATTTGTAATTCAATAAAAAGTTATGAACAAGTGGAAAATAAATCAAAACTATAATAGAATAAAGCTCAGATTAACCAAGTAGTAAGAAGTTCAGTACAACGAATAATTTAATTAATAAAAGATATTAATTTAGTTACAAAGAAGAATAAGAAAATTCTGGCCATATAAAGAGATCTGTGACAAAGGCTTGTGTGAAACAAACTTTTATTTATATTACTCAAGGGGTTTATCCGGTTAGTGTTCTGACTACTCCACCGTTACCAATCTTACTTCTCTCCAAACATTAATTGATTTTTATATTGATCGTTTTAATCTTCCCTTTGATGTTAAGGACTGCAATTGATCAGTCTCTTATTGGTATATATGCATCCTGTACGGATAGCCTCAATATTACTTTAAGTCACTAGTATTATAAGCACGATGACGTTTTCAACGAACGGCACCGGGTTCGAGTCCCGTAGTGAGCGTCAACCGTTGGGTGCAGGTCCATCCAGCTGATAAGTCCCAGATGGAACCAAACGCGCTCCCTGGATTCCATTGCTAGTCACCATCCATCTTTCTAAACATACAGTTTCAGAAATACGTGTAGAAATAAAACTGAAACATTTCCCTTAGTATTTTCCAGTGCATTTGTTTCAGTGAGTTTATTTTCACTAGGTACTGTAACTTAAGACTGTTTATTAACCTGCAAATTTTATTTTTATTGCCCTATTCAAAATTCTAGAGAAAATGTAATATAATCGATAAATTTTAGGCAGAAGAACATATACTTCAAGATAAACAAATCTAATAGATAAGGCAATGACAAAGGAATGAAGAAACATATAATAATAATTGAGTGGTTCGATGTCACTTTATATTTCTTTCACCGGTAAAGAGATTTCTATCACGTATTAGTTTGTTTCAAATAGATGATCTTACCTATAGTAAACACTGGTTGCCAATCATTGGGATTGGTTCAATTCAGATAATATCTTCCTTTCTCAACAAGTATTGCTTTCCCTTGTATTACCACTAATACAGCCTCGAACTGTTGCTTCGTGAACTATATTGAGTCTTAATATTCTTTCCCTATCAGAATTATTTAGGAGCAATTTAGAAAAAAGACTTAAATACCTAATTGTAATGAAAATAAAAAAATGTATTAAGTAGTTCTATATGACCATAAGGATGTGAGTATCAAAATTAACATACAATATTAGCGTTTGGTATCATGTCCAATTTTGTATTGCTGACAAAAATGGATATGACTCTGAGAATAAGTTTCCTCAGTCGATTAGTTTGAGACTGAAAATAGTTCAAAGGTTAGTTGAATGAAAGCGTCAGTAGACAACCAATGAATGAATTAACCAGAGACACTTTTACTTATTTTTTGATGCTATCCCACCATCACGCAGTTACTTTCTGATAATGAACAAAAACAAATTATATCAGGTGCTTTGATAATTAAACCTCATTAGTTAAAATATACTGAGCATCACAAGGACAAGGGTTATGCTTATTCATCTCCAAACATTTGACAACAAAAACTAAGCTTTTGAATAATTAATGAAATCTGTTAGGGTTGCTAATCTGTTCGCGTATATGCCAAATCATAATTAATCTAAACACATACAGAAAAACATGGGAGTTGATACTGAATATACAGAGAGTTTCATTGTACTTAGGGCTTTCCATATAACCGTAAATATGGTCATTTTGTAGAAGCAGCTAAAATCATTGTCAGAATGCCATTTCTGCCTAGTTATAAAACGAAAAACGCGCTCCAGTTTCATTGCGAATATATAGTTGAATACTCCCAGTAGCCAGATATAATTCTTGGTCTAACTTTGAGACTAAATAACTGTGGACAGTAAGAACCAATCAACGTCGAGGTGTACGGAACATGCTGTGAAACGCATATAGAGAAATTCGAACACCACTTTTATCTGAAGTTTGTGTTGGTGATGTCGTTCAGAAGAACGATGAAAGCTCCACGACCAAACCATCCAACTCAGAGAACAAAACTCCATCAAAGAAAACGGTGGACACCTATGACTATGAGTGGAATCAGAACTAGGTCCTTTAGGTTTTGTAAAGAGTGTTACACATTCAGATTACTGATTTGACATACAATAATTCACATTCCCAACTCCTGGCAATTGTCGATAATGCACAACAATGGAAGTTATTTTTCCATATTTTCTTCTTAAATGAATTTAATAGTTCAGTAAGTTTTTTGTAAGAACTTCCTGGTCTAACTGAAAATACACTTAAGTTACAGTTGAAACTTTAAAACCTGGTTCATAATATTTATTTACATAAAATGCCGAATGTTATTATAAAAACAAAGCATAATCAACGAGAATTTATCAATCCTATTTTCGACAGATGTGTAAATTTACGCATGTCATATTTCAGTTATCTGTTAAAGGGGAACTCAGAAAGACAACAAAATACGGTAACCAACATTCGAAGTCAGTTGATTAATCGTATATTATTTCAAACAATCGATTAAAATCTAGCGAATTTTCAAGAACACAGTCGTTACATCAAAACTGGCATCAAATAAAATACTATGTGGAGTGATTAAAGTTTTTCAAATAATAAATAAAAATCGCGTAATACGGGATTTGACACATGTAAATGGTACTGTACTCCTTGTCTAAGAACTAAACACCACAGCAAATTCTGGTGTACAAGTGAGTATATTGTCCCTTGCATAATGTAATTCTCGACATACACATGTAAGAAGCAGACAAAGATCAACATATCCAAACGACATTTCACTATCTTGAGGACCGTCTGACCAACGTCACATGCCAAGCCACCAATCAGAATCCTGATTCTAATTTCCTCTGTAATTTACTCTAAAGCTTAGTGTCTCTGACTTGGTCAGTTGTACGTTCCACCATGACTACTGACCTTGAGCCGACCGCTAAGCTCCTATTGGTTCACTATTTCCAAACTCCTCCCTACCCTTTGCTTCGGAGCCAAAAGTAGCAACCGTGTTCTACGATATTTATATTTTGAATAGAAATGGTCTATACACAAACATATCAGATCGCATAACACTATAAAATGAAAAAACAACAGTTATACGTGAATACACGAGAAGTGGTTATGAATAGGTGAGACCATAAGTAATCCAATGGCAACAAATTAGAAATAGTAAATCGTGTAACCATAATTTATAAGTCAACTGAAAGCTTATACCAAATGGAGTACATATACACAACAGTCTAGTTAGTTAGTAATTATACAACAAATTTATAATTCTTAAAACTCCGAAAGCTTAACTTCGACATTATTCGTCCCGTTATAAGATTCATAAATTAAGTATGCACATCAATGGATTCTTGTGCTTGTGAAATTTATAGGTTTTGTTTTGCATTCATTCATCGTAATTCCTGAAGATTTCCTAAAACAGATATCTTTTTTACTATTTCGCTTTCTCTTATTTCCAGCACTTTTAATATCATTATATGTTCATTCTTGCTCATTGTTTTGGTTTGTTTGATATTATCATTTTTATTTCTTCCATTATAAAGTTTCATTTGTATAAGCTGTCTGACTATTTAGTAAGATTCAGTGGGAGAAGTGAAATCCATCATCATAAGAACGTTTTTAACTGATAACGAAATACGTTAGGAGTATTTCTACAGTCTGTATAATCTAATTGAGAGTCGATGCTTGGAGATCGCTTGATGTAATCTTACTGGATATAAGTAAGTAAAGCTGAGCTAAACTTTAAAGTGAATGGTTAACGGGTGAACTGAGTCAAGGTCACAGTGTATTTATTAAAATAGAGTTAGGGATCAGTGTTAGAAATTCGAATTGGAAATTAAGGTTTTGTACAATAATTGACATCAATTTTAATGCAAGCATCTCAAACTGCATACCCTGAGTGCTAGTCTTAATGTAATAATAAGTAATTTATCAAGCACTTCAATCTGCTGATTGGGTTAACCGGTTGAGATCTCAAAGTCATGGAGCGGTATGGCTCAGCTATACATAGAAATCGATTCAGGAGAAAATGAACAAGTACATAAATAATCTTCATTCAAATAATAACCCTAATTTAAAAACTGGTAACAGTTAAATATTCATATCATCACATAATGTTATGAATGTGACGTCAGTAAATATTTACAGAGATTCGCCAGTCGGAATACTTTTTCGTTTATGACTAAGCGTCCTGGCTAAGTTCTGGTCAGTGATACCTCTCGATTGATATGATAAACCTTGAGATAATCTTGACTCCCATTGATTAGTACGCCTTTATCCTTAATCTTGAGTCCGATAAAAAAACAGCATGCAAGATTCTGTTATTTATATTTCGGGTACCCAGTATGTTATTTTAAAATTCATTGCTTTGTGTACATAAATTATTAGACCTCAGATAAAAAAATAATACTTTACATACAAACATTCTATACGTGGTAAAGAACGAAGCATACAATATGTAACTAAAAAGCAATGATCAAGGAAAAATAAAGGGTACAACGGCAGTCACTTGGTCCAACGAAAGCTAACAAGAAGGGGAATAAGGTACGTAGTAGTCCAATTATTTAATAATCATACAAAAAAACAGTAACATTCGATAAAGTAATTCTGAAAATTCCAATATCTTCAATACTCGTGTGGTTGCAACGCATAATTACAAATTTAAGTCACCCACAGGTAATGTACGCTGAATAAAACCAAATCTGATCAGTTGATTCTCTGATATATTTCCTAGCATTGTGCTTTTTTCGATCAATATTTTACTCTTATTGGTTTAACTTGCTATAAATGTATTGCCTGCTCTGAAATGGTGAAAACTGAGACTGGAACTGATCATGTCTCGTTCGGTAACCTTTTTGAGAAATTGGTTCGAATGTTGTTGAACACTTAATAAATACAACGCATGTTATGTAACCTATATTGATTGTAATCGGAGTAGTTTGTACAAATAGGATCAACTGCTGATTACTAATTTCTTAGCGCATTATTTACAATAGCAATTTATCTCAGATGTTCGTGATGTCATTTAATGAATTTTTATTGATGGTTAGAAGCTATTTGTCGTTTTCATGTTTATAAATCGACTTTCAGCATTTACAATAGATTATTTCCTCAAAATTTAGGGGGCCTGCTGAGACCAGTTGAGTTACATACTCGACAAAATGCAAGTAGAGTTGAAAATTGATTTCATAGTGAACTCATATCCTAAACCAAATCCACCATGAGAGTTCATTATTTGAATCAGATATCTTTTGGAGGTTTCTGGCCTAATAGCTATTCTCTTTATTCAACAATGTGATATGGATTCAAATATCTTCATGAGGGATTATACGGTTTACAAGGGAGTAGCTACAAGTTTGGGAACTTTCGCAGCTGTTAGTTTTTACTTGAATTTCACCTGAGCTGATGGTAAATTATTCAAATTTACTAAGGAAAATCTTTAAACTGAAACTACTTCTTGTGCTAATCTTAGATACCGTGAAGTTTATTTAATCTATTGAATTTTATAGTGACACTTAAATTGTACGAACAGTTTACGAATTAAAGTATAGAAATTTTTACTTTATAGATATTTTAAGATGCGTTTATGATTTTAAAATCAAGTCTGAATTTGCACCGTATATGAAGCTTTACTTTATATCCATTTGTTCAGTTACATTTCACAATAATACAACGTAAACGTTCAGTGTCAAGTGTACAAAGTAATATTTTACGTTTTATCAACTTGGTACAAATAGTTCGATCGTGTTAATTGAGCATTAGGATATTTTAATTGTTTCCCGGTAAATTTTGCTGCGACTAATTTTGTGAGAACTCAATAATTATAGATAAAAGAAATAAAATGATTGGAATAGTTGTGCATCTAACTTCAACCAATCCACAATATTGAGCAACCAACTTCCATCGTCCTCCAGGTTTTCAGTGGTGGTTAAATACTGATCGGTTCATAATCTCAATAAAAACCAGAAAATCTTCACAACCTTATAGCGATAAAACATTTGTGCTTGTAGTTCACTCAAACCTTTCAAGTTAAAAGCTCCTTCTGTATTTATATTAAATGATTCACTTTACCAAACTGTTTATATATCCTTTATTCATTAGGTCAACGTTGATTATATCTTAGAGTACTTTGGTCATAAAATGTATTTTTTGAAACTGAAATGTAAACAAGTTCAAATACATGAATACAACTAGATAGGAATTGTGCCCTTAATGTGAACAACGAATTAAAAATCTTTTCTCTGAATCTTGTAACCTTTTAACTGTTCGGAGTTTTATTTTATCGAAGCCCGACTAGCCACTAACTTTCTGATCGTGATACTTTTTATCTTATCTGATTCGCAAAAATGGGAATGGGGAATATTGGAAGCTGTTCTTCTGTGAACCAGGATATAAATTCCCGATGTAGGTTTGTCCAATAATTAATTACGGGTAGTCTGGTTAATTAACTAATTATATGCTTCCATTAGCCGTTGCTACATATTTTTCCATTCCTAGATTACAGAAAACTAGTCGTAAAGCTACTACTCAGTTTTTTTCCATAAAAATCCTGGTTACTGCACACAATGAGATTTATCGTTTGTGATAGAACATGGTCTTGTTTGTTATGTTTGTTATAATTACATGACTTTCAAAGTCTAAATAGTACAGAGTAGTATTATGTACTCATGGCGTTCTCCTGGAGTTTTACTAGGTAATTTGAAGAACGGGCTACCGATCATTTTAACAAGTACAGTTATCAATGTTTGGGAATCCACTGAAAATAGTACATAAGTAGAGAAGAAACATTAAGTTCAAACAGCTTGTTTAAAAGGTTCTCAGTTATACTCGTGTTCTTCATATCAAAAACAGCTGAGTTTTACGTGTTAACATAGATTTTCTCACTATTTTCGACATGATACAGTGAAATTCTGAAATCGGTAAATACTGCATTTGTGGGGCGCGTGTTTGTTCTTTTAGCCATAACTTAATTCAACCATCAGTTTGGAGTTATTTTACGAACTGCACAATAGGCCCTTGACATTTTTCACGTTACCGGACATGAACAAAATGTATTTATGAATCTAAATAAAAGTTGATGCATCTCGTAACTCTTTAGAGAAATGACTGATTACAGTAATCAAAATCAATATTTAGTTCAGGAAGACAACAAACCGGGTAATGCAAACATACAGGTAAGCAGTCATGTGTACGTAAAACTCGGCAAATGAGTAGAAGTTAGTAAGTAGTTATATGAGAATAAGGAAATGATTGATGGGATCAATAAGGATACGTGAAAATGTAGCTAAATAAGGGTTAGTAGCTAATCCTACTGATTCGTACAAAATAACTAACAGGATAAAAGTTAGGTTGTACAGCTGTCAGAGGCAACTAATTTTCGATAAATATACAGTATTTCAGCACCTTTTAAGTGCCTGGTACAGTGATAACCGAGTGGTACGTATGACTGTAAAAATTGACGTTGGACGGTATATTCAAATGCCTTTTAACAGTATATACACCATTCGTCCTGACATAGTATGTGCAGGGTACTGGAACCTCACTCTAGTGGTGCTTTTCAGGTGATGAGAGAGGCTGATGCAATAACTAGCACAAAGATCTACAATCAGGGAAGATTCAAATAATTGTAAACTTCGACCGACCTACATTGATGAACCAACCTCATTTACAACATCACTATTGTGACTTTAAGCCCGGCTGGTTGTCACGCGATTTACTCGCCAATCGAGATACGACTTATCCAATCTTAGTACTATGCTAAACCAATGACGTTCGACCGGTATGAGCAACCTAGAGTTATTATTGGTCCTTTGTTTGCCTAGTCAATCCAGTTGAGTCTAGAGCATCAGTACAGCTTCTACTATGCGAATCATTTATTTCAAACATACTTGATTTATATACCAGCCAAACAGACCGTATCATACCATAAAATAGGGAATAACATTTATACAAGATCAAGCCAAGAAGTGGCTGTGAACGTGGGAGACGGTAGTTAATAAACTGAGTATAGCTTAAGAACACTAAATCGTATAATAATAATCTATAGGTCGAAATGAAGCTTATAATAAGAGGAATATAAATATATGTAATCTAGTTACTGAACGGTTATACAATAGGAATATATATAATATTAGTCCATTAATAGTTCTCAGAAGTTACCCGTAATTTAATTTTCGCTGGAATATAACAATCATGGAGGAAAATAAGCAACAAAAACAATGCACCAGGACAAAAGTAATCACGAATCCGATCATTTGACCATGAATTACGTCCAAATAATACTTTCACGAGTGTAAGTTTATTTATCAATATTTTTTTCAAATTTAAGACCTTTATCACATAAATTTTGCACAAATATTGGTAACATATATCACCTGAATCTATGTAACATTTTGATTTATCATTTTCTCAATAATTAAGTAGGAAGATAGCTGAGTACAATTAAACGTTCAATCTATTTGTGATAAATTCATAAGCATACAATCGTTTTCACCAATGAAAAACGTAACATGAAAGTAAAACAGCATTTTGTCCTGTATCCTTATATGCTTGATAAACAGGAAAAATTCTAAGAGCGCCTTTCAAACTATGTTCCCAAGACATTCTTAATAATCTGGATAACTAGACGATCTATTTGGGAATGCAATCATAAATTATGAATTTTTCAAACAAATCAGTTAAATTACAGATTCTATTCGAATTATATCAAGCAGACTGCAGTTCATCACAATAATCTATGCATTAGCTTGCAAAATCGCATAGAAAATAACTTCATTATAAAATTTATTGAACGAATATATCCATACACAAACTTAAGTTGCTTTCTTGAAACAAATAACAAAAAAATAAAAGATGAGGGAGTAATTGACTTTTTACAGAATGTAACACATTTGTTTGTTATATTATTAACGTAACTGCATATAAATTATTTCTGGATTCACTTTTACATGCATTTACACTAAATGGCATCACTAATATTCGGTAAAAAATATCAACAACTCTATGAAGACGGTTTATTTTCTTTATCTTCTTCGTTCACACACTCAATCATATGCTCTGATTCATTTGTGGCCACCACTTCAGCAGGGACGATATCACCAGAATGTGCTTGTTTCATGTAGTAATATAGACCTCTATGAAACAAAATAGTGACGAGGACATGGTTTTAGACATATATAGTCAGTTAGTTTGTGGGAAATTACATTGACACATAAGTTTATTTGTTATTTGCCAGTAAATCTTGAACGCAGAATGACTTTATAGGTTTCTCTTTTTTAATTTATTTTTCAAATTACTTTTCTGCTTATTTATGGTCATTTATTGACATCCTCGACGCTATTTTCACACGTTTGCTTTGATTCCTATTTATTTCCTGTGGGATGTATTAACTTGAACCCGGTACACATCTGTCCCAGATTCCATGTTTTCTGTTCCGTATAAAGTAGTTTCAAAAGTTTTTTAGTGTGAACGGAAATTTTCCTAGTTGCAGTCCATAAAAAATCGGGTACGAGTGTATATGAGAAATAATCAGGTGTTGATATTAATATTCAGAGTAACAAGTCAATAACATTGGTCATATGTAAAAGTTTGCACTAACCGTTTGTGTTGCGCTGACAAAAGAATAAGTAAACAATAAATGGTCACACATATAAACAACAGTAATTAATTTTAGTAAACACTTACGCATCAGTCTGTTGTTTAGGGAATAGAACACGTTCAACTGCACCGGAAGGCATACATATATCGTGAATGGGCTGATCGTGTTTGAATAGTTTATGAGTAACAATCCGAGGCAATTGGTCAGGTTCAGGTTTTACGACTGGGACTTGATGTCTTCGCCAATCCCCCTTTGATACAACCAAATAAGAAATGAGCTCGCTAGACGGTTCACTTTTGAACTAAAAATCAGTAACATTAGAAAATACTACAGTTTGAATTAAAGGAAAATGAGCGAAATAGTTCTATATAACTTAGTGTGAAACAATATAGAAAGGTATAAAATAAACAGTCGGGTGCACAGTAAAAAACGATGATGATGAGACACTATCTTGTTGAGTGTACAGTAACTACACGATTTAAATGTGGGCTTTACACATAACAAAGAGTTGAACATTAACTTGATAATGTATAATAACTGTGTTCAGTGTATCTGAACGAAAATGCTATTGATCGACAAGTTTCATCATAAGAAATATTAACAACTTCATAATAAATATATTTTTGTTATACCCTAATGAGTAGAAAAATTGTATTTCTGATGTTTCGCGACTTAATGTAAGCCACTTCTTCAGAGTAAATAGTTTCAATAGACATCAACAATTTCCTAACATTAGACTTGACATATAACTAATTTATCCCTTCTAAAAGTCAACAAGATAAATAATTCAACAAAATATTTTTAAAAATTATAGAATTCGGTCAATGGTTCTCCTATTTCTTTGTTCAATATCAAATAAATGAATACTTACTCGCGTTAATCCAAAGTTGTAATATCGTACAACAATATTACAGTTGGAATCCTTTTTTCCACAAGTCTGCACATGAGGACACTAAAAATAATTATAAAGCATTAACAATTCATTCTAATATACGGGATTTCGTTTGCAATATAATTGCAGAAATATGTCAGTAATGATATTGGAAAGTGGCGAGTGTGATGTAGCAAATTGCAAATGAAGAAATTCGGCTTAGTAGGAACTGAGATGCCATTGGAGTATTCTTCATTTTCAAGCAGCACATGGTGAACTAAGGTACAATAGTTAGGAATCTTTAATGAAGTTTAGTACTAGTACTACAAGTAGTAGGACAAAATACATTATTTCTACTCCCACAACTGACATAACATAAGAATATTTAAAGGTACAGCCATTAAACTAGTCTATCAAATGACTAGTTTGAAAATTTTAAACTTCTATGGAAATAAATGGAATATTTATCAGCAGCAGTAACTCTCAACAAAGTCGAGTGTGCGAAAGTTGTTATATATAGAAACTACAAACGAAGTTGCACAAAACATTTTACCCTGATAAATAACGGAATTTTAACACTTTTAAAAGTTCAAAGTTAATACTAACGATTACTTACTGGACTGAAAATATGAACATCAGGTCCCCCATTTGTGAGCTGGAAAAAATTTTTAAATAACGCGCTTGAATGCTCTTCTAACAAAGTGTGGAGAGCGATTATTACAGTTGCGTGGTAAAATAAGCAGTGTTATATGATCTTAAATAATTGTTAAATTTTAACATACAAAAGATTACAAAAGATTTAACATGAGCTTATGGGACCAGGTAAACATTTCGCACGATCATAATCAGGAAATATATAAACTATAAACTTGTCATTTACGGAGAAAATATTAACACATTTACCAATCAAAAACTATTACTCAGAATTCAAAATAGCTAGTAAATTGGAATTGTTTCTCGCTTTTTCCAATTTTTTCTTATTAAGAGAAGTGATGTGTACATACAAAGATCCACCTAAATAAAAATAACACGGAATAGGCAGTTAATTGAATTCTCTACATTGTTAAATCTTGGGAGAAAAAAAGGAATCTATCTATTTCTCATCCCTGATATTTTGAATATCGATTGCAAAAACATAATATTTTTCAAAAGAAACTAATTTGAAAACTATTTAAAATAGAAAAGATGGAATATGGTAAGTAGTGGAATCCGGAACGCACGTTTCGTCTTGTTTGGGACTCGTCAGTTGGCTGTACCTGCATCCCAGAACTAAAGAAACGAGTGGAAAACATTAGAGTTGATGAGCAAAAATATATGGAAGACATAGCAATGACAGCAGAAAAGTTGTAAGATAACGAAGTATGGGAGAACTATATGGTACAACCAAAGTTAGTAGGTGAATATAGTAAACCAAAGCAATCAGTCAGGGAAAAATAAGGAAAATCAATCACTGAGGTTCAACAGCAGAGGAACAGGTGGGTAGAGCACTTTAAAAAGTTCTTGAGTAGATTGGCCCCACTGAATCAACCGGACATCGAGGCGGTAAACAAAGACCTCCCTTATGTGTCACCTCACCAACTACAGGAATCAGTAAGGCCATTAGACAAATCAGAAGTGGGGAAGCAGTAGAACCAGATAGCATACTAGATGAAGCCCATAAAGTCAGATATAGTGGCAACTGCAAACATGGTACACATTCTTTTCCTAAAGATTTGTGAGGAAGAACATGTACCCACACACTGGAAAGGGGTACACCTAATCAAAATACTAAAAAAGGGAGATCTTAGTAAGCGTAAGAAATACGGAGACATGACACTACTGTCAGCACCAGGCCAAATTTTCGGTAGAGCGTTGCTAAACTGGGTGGAAAATTCAGTGAAAGCCCAACTTCCAAACCCATAAGCTGGCTTTCGAAAGAATCAATCATGTACTGTCCAAAGCGCGACACTGTAGATCATTGTTGAACAATCAGTAACCTGGAACTCATTGCTATACATCAACTTTCTTGATTATGGAAAGCCATTTAACAATGTGGCTAAGAAAACCTTGTGGGATCTTCAACACTATGGATTACCTGAGAGAACCATTACTATTATACGGAACTCCTACAATGAACTAAATTACAGATCCGTGCATAGACGGCAGTTCATAGATGCGTTTCAAGTGAAGAGTGATCCAACCCAAGACTGCTTGCTCACGCCTGTTGCCTATCTCCTAGTTGCTTACTCAATTATGAAGACCAAATCTTAGAGGAAGCACGGAATACAGTGAACACCATGGATGCGGTTGGATGATTTAAACTTTATAGACGATCCATCCCTTCTAAAGCACACAGTAAAAAACGAAAGTGACGAAAACCATGGTACCAAAGTGTCTCAGCATCCACAAGGGTAAAAATAGGATCCCGCGACACAATACAATGAGCAGCTACCAAGTCACCTTTGATGAAAAGTATCTCCAGGAGGTGAAAACCTTCACGTATCTGGCAGGAGAATCTAATGAAAATGTGAATGTATGGATAAGCAAAGCAAGGGCAGTGTTTCGATGATTGAAGAACATCTGGAACTCAAGACAACGGTCGGTCAGAATTTTCAATACACAAACCAAGAAAGTTCTATTGTATGTCGTCTAAAGTTGGAGAACAACTGAAATCATCATTAAAAAAGTACAAATATTTATAATCAGCTGTCTATGAAAGATATCCCAGATCAATTAGGGAACGGCCATCAGTAATCACCTACACTGGGAGAGAACAAATCAGCTTACAACTGAGGAGAAATTTAGGAAAAGACACTGAAGGTAGACTGGTCACAAATTGCGGAAATTATCGAAATACATCACAAAGCAAGCCTCAACATGAAATCCTCAAGGCGAAACGAAAAGCAGACCAAAGAATATATCGCCCCGGCAATGGGAGATAGATATCAAAAGCATAAAGAAAGGGAACTGGAAAAAAAAGAGACCAAAACAAAGTTTGTTGATGATTCTTGATCAATGGCCTATTTTTCAATAAAGGTAACAGGCCTAAGAAAGTAAGTCAACAATTCAATACACCTTATGTAATCCTAACTTATGATTTGCTCCCATAATTATTATGATATTTCACTGCTAACACTTGTTTTTCGACAATAGAGTGACACATTTACTGTTTGTGTATGAATGGGAAACTTGAAAATAAATTCATTAAGGATTTGCTTCTCTAATTTTTGTAGTGCAAGGACAAATTTATTGATTCTTAAATTTAGATAATAATTTTCATAATTAGTAAGCAATTTAAAAAATCAAATTGACAAACCAAAAAGTCCCTTGCTTCAAGTATTGCCTGAAATCCGGACTTTGTTCCTTGTTCAATAAAGACCAGAAAATCAGTTGTTTTCTCCCACAATGATGAAATAACACGTGAACGAGAAGATTTGCATGGGATTTCCAGTAAAGTGTTAGCACAGACTACCAAATTATATTGATTCTTTTTTATGAAGAAAAAATGAAATCGACGAAACAGTAGAATAATTTTGTTTGTGTTCTTTCTTTAAAAAAGGCTACGGAAGTTTGATTTAGTAATCATGGTAATAAACATGGTTTGAATTAAAATCAAACAAATAGCAGCATAAATACTGAGAAATTAGGATTTATAGGGTAGAGCAAACTATATTACAGACACGTTTCACTCCAAAATAACATTCGAACGATACTTGAACAAGCACTTTTTCGAAGATGACAACTAGATGCAGAAAACAGAAAACTTGATGGAGTTCCAACTATGATCAAAGAGAACTAAGCACTTAAAGAATTTCAGTAACGTAAATGAAACATTTCACGTGATCAACTTTACACAGCAAAAATGATGCCATACTGTTCCCCGGAACAATAATTTAACCTTTTGTGGTAGTATCTGACACATGATATGATAGTTATCACAGAAGTTTATAGTTTACACCACCTTCTGACTTTGGATTATAATAAACCCGAAATATGTGTGAGTTTGGTTGAAAACATGTCTTTATATATCTTCCCACTGGTTGTAAACACGAACAACAAATAACTTACCCGCAATCGAAAACTTAATTAAGCCTGCTACCCCTTGTGGAGAAGCATAGACTACTCAAGGAGCATTCTTCATACAACTCTGTCCTGGGCAATCCTTTTCATTTGCTATTCAACCTTTCCATGTCCGCTTCCCATTCTCGAAGCAGTGTATTCTTTGGCCTTCCTTGTTTCTGTTTGCCCTGACAATTCCAAGTTAGAGCTTGCATCGTGATGCAGTTTGGTGATTTCCACTATGTATGTCCTATCCACCATCAATGTCTTTTCCTAGTTTCCTCCTTAGTTGGAAGCTGGTTTATTCTCTCCCACAGTAGGCTGTTGCCGATGGTATCCGATCAACGGACACTGAGTACCTTGTGTAGACAATTGCTTACAAACACTTGTACTTTTTGATGATGGTTGTGGTATCTCATCAAGTTTTAGCTCCGTACAGTAGAACTATCTTAACGTTCGTATTGAAGATTCTGACTTTGGTGTTAGTTGACAGTTGTTTTCAGGTCCATATGTTATTCAACTGTAAGAATGCTGCTATTGCTTTACCAGTCCTTACCTTTACGTCTGCATCAGATCCTCCTTGTTCATCAATGATGCTGTCCAAGTACGTGATTTTTCACCTGTTCCAGAGTTTGTCCATCAAATGTGATTTAGTTGGCGTTCTCCGTATTGTATTTGAGGATCTTTCATTTTCCTTTATGAATGTTGGGACCTACTGATGCAGAGGCTACTGCTACACTGGTTGTCTTGACCTGCATCGGTTTGTGAGTATAGGACAGAAGGGCCAAGTCATCCGAGAAGTCCAGATCGTCTAGTTGCATGCAAGCTGTCCATCCTATTTCTTGCATCACCACCTCAGATGTAGAGGTCTTTATAATCCAGTCAACCACCAGAAGAAAGAGGAAGGGAGAGAGTAAGTAGCCCTGTCTGACTCTGGTCGTCACTTAGAGTGTGTCTGTCAGCTGTCCTCCATGCACCACTTTGCAATGAATTCCGGATGATATTGACGATTTTCTCAGGTACACCAGTGTCGAAGAAGGTTCTCCCACTGTTATAACTTGTGACTTGTGTGTCCTACTAATGTATAGCGTAACAATACCGCCAATTAGAGAGCAGTGAATTATCGACCGGAGCAATGACGCGTAAAACCCGTAAGAGCAGTCTAGAGTACTTATCGGTCCTGCTTTCCGCCTAGCCCAGCCAGTCAAGTCCAGAACACCAATCTCAGTCTCTGTGATATGAATAGTTTATTTCAACCATACTGGGTTTATAAACCAACCAGACAGAACACATCCTACCATAAAATAGGAAACGACATTTGTACAAGATTTAGCCAAAAGTGGCTGTGAGTGTGGGAGGTAGTAATTAATAGACAGGGCATAATTCAAGAATGGTAAACCGTATAATAATAGTTCATAGATCAAAATAAAGCTCATAATAAGAGGGACATGAATATGAATAGTTTAGTTATTTAACAATTATACGATAAAAATATAAGTTAGTATTGGTCCATAAATGGATCCCAAAAGTTACCATTCATTATGCTTATCGGGACATAACAACCACCCACGTTGTCGAACACCTCATAGTCAAGGAAGTTGATGTATGGTGACGATTTTCAGTCAAATGACTGCTCAACAATGATCCTTAGTGTCGCGATTTAGTCTATTCACGACTGATCCTTACGGAATCCAGCCTGTTGATCTCGAAGATGGGTGTCTACTGAATATTTTATCCTGTTCAGCAACACTCTGTTGGAAACTCTTCCTGGTACCATTAGTAGTGTGATACCTCTGTAGCTTCCACATTGGCTCAGATCTCTTTTCTTTGGTATCTCGATGAGATATCGTTCTTTCCAGTCTGTTGGCACTTGTTCCTTACCCTATATCTTCCTGGATAGAAAGTGCGGCATGTTTGCAGCTGCTTCTATGACTGACTTTATTGCTTCGGCTGGTATATTGTCAGGTCCTACTGCTTTCCCACATTTGATTTGTCTGATGGACATCCTGATTTCTTCTATCGTTGGTGAAGTGGTACCTACCGGTGGGTCCAGTGGAGCTGGATTATTCAAGAGTTCCTCGAAGTGTTCCACTCATCTGTTCCTCTGTTCTTAAATCTCAGTGATTAACTTTCCTTCTTTATCCTTGATCAGTCTCTCTGCTTTACTATATTTTCCTGCCAGTTTCTTCGTTATATCATAAAGTTGTCTGATATTTCCTTCTCATGCAACTTTTTCGGCTGTTCTTATTGATAATATACTATCCCAACTACTGATGTCCATAGTACTACTAGGACCATTGACCTGCTAAAATACTCAGTTAACGAGGCATCATGTTGTGGTCGAGTGGGGAGGAATTGACCTCTACAAGATAACGACTGAAGATCAATGGTTGTCTAAGGTCGGTTCATGATGAAAACTACGAAAATTAAAAACTCACAAACCCCCCTATACTGTCATAGAACTTTTTTATGCAGATTTTTGCAAGAAAATTTGTGAATATCTTCAGTTTAATCACATATGTTACATTGTGTATTCAGAAAACTAATAGGTAAATTAGTTTACTTCTACTGACTGAGAATGTGCTTCAAATATGTATATCCTTAAGTGAAAGAAACCAGTAGTGTAAGAAAAGAAATAAAGTAAGGTGAAACAAACTCTTAGTTTAGACTATTAGTCTTGTAAGAACATAGACAAAAAGCAGACAACCAGTCAATAAAAATACTGCTTTTGATTAGAATAGCTTTGATAACCTTCCAAATGTTAATGCTATCAGATTCATATGCAGGAAAATACACAACACAGTCCAATACTATGACCTATAGCAAACCATGTTCATCGATAGCGAAGCATATAATTGAAACGGGGCACAAAATTGACAAATCAACATACTCATGTTAAGTTACAGATAAACAATATAAGGTATTCGCTAAAGATGGACGTTATCCAACTGTTTCTGTCTAGGCTTAAATACCTAGAGAATGTTAAAACACAGTTCACATTTTATTAAACTTTTATAAAAAAAACCATACTAATAGTAGTTTGTCAATAAATTTTCCCCTACTTAAAATTAAACTTTACATCCAGTCAAACGAAACGTTTCAATAGGGATTGGCGAACTTCCTAGAATCAACTTAACCTTCTTTAAAAAATATAAAACGTCATGAGCTCGTATTTCGTCATATCATCTAATATCAAGTAGAGAAAAAGCCCGTTTCAGTTGCTAGTTCCCCTACATTACCGGTAGCTTTTATACACGAGGTCTCCGAACGAGTAAATTAATGAGAATATACAACAACTGGTATACCATATAGATTACCCAACTCATAGTAAATTTGAGAGCTTTAATAGGCAAGTCACAATGGCAGGATTTTATCTGCATAAAGCCACTTAACAGTGTGATTTATCAATAAAAGACAACTTTACGTTCCACGGACAACGTTGAAAGATACCATCGCTTTGTGATATGACCTATTAACTCAACAGCTCAGTAACTAACAGCACAAATTTGCCCTATCTTCAATCATAGTTTACTTTCGGAACCCGGCAACTGAGAAAACTAATAACCGAATGTGATCAGTGGAAAACGTGTGTGATTAGTGTTTATGAACAGCAGTTACTAAGAATAAACTTCAGTAAGCCAAATGCAATTTTTTCCTATAAGTCTGTTGTAATCTTTTTCTTACGGTTAATGACCCAGCTATTCCTATTGCTTAGTATTCTCGGACACCGATTCACTCGACAAGTCCCCAAATCAGAACACGGTTGAACAGGAAAAAGATTATATTCCAAATAGCAAGTCAGAAGCCAGTAGGAAGAACAATAGGGGAAAACGTCGGTATATTTATAGTTTTTACATAAGAAGATTCCAGAGTATTCTCCGACTATCGACTAGTGCTGATTGGATAAGAATCAGCCAATCAGTGTGCACCAAAACAATCATGCATTGAGCATGCTTTAATCTAGTCTATGTCCCGCTAACAAAGTCCGTTTCCGCGTTAACGTTATCGACTCTATGGTATCTGTTTTTATTTAACCACAAAGTTGGTCAAAGGAGGATCCATTGGTGGCAACTGTCTACTTACATGTCGAGCTTATGACAATAAGACCGTAATTCAGAAACCGTTGTATTCTAATATACCTAGTGTTATGTTCGTTAACTTCAATACTACTACTGATCCGTCTTACTCGGAACGGAACGAAGAATCAGGGACTCAGAGACTCGATAAGCTATACTGATCCGTTGACCCCGACTCAGCTAACTCGATCTAGAAGTCTTGGTAAGATGTAGAAAGTATATTCTACAGACAACCAGAAGATACCAGGTCCCTCAAGCACACAAATCAAGCGTATTTATACAAAAAATATATAGTCGATATTGCCATGAAGAGAATTAGAAAGACTTTTTGTGACCATTATCCAATGCAACTCATCAGCCTAAGTAAATACATGTTAAAAACCTTACCTTAATGTACTAAATACTTTTATGAAATGTTTAATGCCGACTACACTATCTAGGCCAGTAGCTGAAGTTTATGTAACCTAGTATACAAGTATAATTAGTAAACCACTTTGAGGATAAAATTCCGATGCTTGTAAAAGCAGAAAGCTACCTAGTTCATAACCTTACAGAAAATATAATTTTGGGTAACACTACGACAAGTGAGGAAGATTAATGAATATATGTCCCGTTGTGAGTTTGAATAAATTAAGAAAAACGACAAACGTAAAGTCGATTACCTTGGTACTAGGCATGAAGCGGCGATGGTAAACACCAGGAAACACAAATTCAGAGGGTTGAACACTCCCCTGCTTTTGAAACATAAACTCCGATATTCGTGTCATATGTAATGATGGTTCCACCAGATAATGATGGCGTACGCAACCAACTGGCCAGACTGTGTTTGTCGCCCTAAATTTTCAGCGTATAACAGAGGAAAAAATTAAGTGAATCGAACGAACTACGAATAATGACGAAAAAAGTATATTAGTGATTAATTAGTTATAATCTAAGTTAGTAGGTCACTAGACCAGTGGAATGACAAAAATGAGACTTTTCAAGTATCATCTTGCATTCAATCTAAAATTCCATTTCACTAAAAATATCTTGAAAAAAAACACGTTTCTACTTTGTTATATTACAGTTGGTATTCGCGCTATGGAGTGAAAATGATTATACTGAAAAAGCAACAAGATTTATAAAGATTGTAAGAAGAAATTTAGCGGTTTTATCGGGAAGTAAACAGGAATCTTAAATCTATCGAACGCTGCTATGTTAATTGATTTAGTTGCTCACTTTTTGGCGAATTAATGTACTTTTTATATATGATACTGTTTGTCCGTAACATGATAACCTTATATGACTGACGAAATACAATGGATTCTAAATTTGGACAACGCTGAGAGAACAATCTGTTTCTTACTGATAACTTTCTCGGCATCTAAGTCCTACTGCATGAAAAACTGGAACTTTATTGTAGTCCAAATTAAAGAGGATATATATATGAATACTTCTGGATAGATGCTTTGGTATAGCAAAAAGATAGGAAGCAATTGTATTGCGATTTCCTTCATCAAACTCCATATCAATAAATCAAGAGAAAAAGCAAGATGGGATTAAGTCCCGACTTTTATAATCCCTTCTCCTTCTGTAATAGAAGATAACAGTTAGTTTTTGTTATACATATAACAATACGGTTTCAATATGAATCAAAATTTTCCTTTAGTGTACTGTTTCCATACATTTATTTTCCTTGAAAAGGATAAAACTGACACGAATTTATTCCACTTCACTAGATAGTCATAAACCGGTAACACTCTTTATCTAGAAATATTTGTTTATGACATCAGTCAGACAGTCACAACCAACGTAAGCAAGCTGGTTCAAATGTATATTGGCCCAAGTACAATAAATACATTTTAAATTCCGGGTATAATTTCCCAAATGATATCCTACTTCTTAGCCTCAGCAAACAAAAATAGATTATAGTTCCACTGTTATCTTGTGTTCTCAATGTTGCAGGTTATGAAAGCTGGCTAAATATCAACGAAACAAAATGAAGTCACTCTGTTTCACAGATAAACCAGTTATTTTTATTACTACCACTCTGATATAATACAAGCTTAGGGGATGTGCGTTTACATATATGCGTCCCGACATGGTCATGATAAGGCATAAGTACCACCACTAGATTAGAGATAGTAGAGGAAGTCAAATTATTTACAATGTATTGTAATTTACAGACAATTATTCCGTTGTAGTATATGCATCAAAAAAGTCACTTCTCAATAAACTAAAATAGTACTAGTTGACAATGTAGAATTCCAGTGTGAGAGATCTGTAATAAAAATTCATCAAGAATACTCACCAGGTGACTGTTCCGAGCCCAGAGCCAAAATCAAATAATGACTTTGGAATAAAACTTGGGCATCGTTTACGGATTTCGTACAAGACGCGGCAAACGGTAGCAAAGTTGGGTGCCAAACGTGAGACAAGGTACAGCTCACAAGTATGCCCAGAGTAACTAAAACAGGGAATAGAGAATTAGCTCGAAGTTTAAGGATCGGCTTGGCAATAAAAAACGGAAAAAACCACGCTTCAAAACCAACCACTTCAGGTATGTCTGCTACTGATAAAAAAACGGAAACCAAAAACAACGAGAACACAATATTATAATGATTATACTACAGTATTAAGTGAAAGTAATTAGAAAATTGATTGGAATTTCTCAATATTTATTTTATTCCAAATGCGCGGAAATCTATAGAAATATAAGATGATCTGTAATATTCCCAATGGCAGATAAGCCAATCCTTGGTTCTTCGATGTACAACTAAAATATCTGAAAGTGATATATTTGCTAACGAACGAAAACAGAAAATTCGAACTACTAAGTATATGGGAATCATTGATGACAGAACATCCTCTCGATACCATATCCATGCTCAGACAAGTGATTTGATTAACTAATAAGCAATTGGAAGTCAATGGTAAAAGTGGAAGAGGACAATTATCATCTTTGTAGCAAATTATGATAAATAGTTCATAAGGTGACTTTAGTCATCAACCTTGCTAACACAATTGAATCCATACAAAGTTGATTATCTATTTATTTGAACACATAAATATTGGTACAAGAGTGCGCCAAATATATATGCGCCACACAAAACAATGAAAATTTAAGGGGAAAGAAAAAAAGAGAGAATAATAACGAAGAGATTGATGTAAGGTGGTGTAATAATAATAGTAATAATGGAGGAAGGGAAAGGTACAATCGGAAGAAATCATTCAGTTAAGGAAGATACAGCCACTGCTTATGAAGAAAGTAAAAGGTTACAGCAGGATTGCCGCTGGCTTCTATCCTGAGCCATATCTGACCACCTCTCCGCTTTTTCCAACCAGTCCCAGAGTCGGCAAATAATGCACGACGTGGAATCCTCTGGGACGACATTCGTAGAACATGTCCAAGCCACCGAAGTCGGTGTTTCAAGATGGTGACACCGATTGCATTATCGTCTCTGTGCCCGAACACACGATGTCGAACCTCTGCATTACTCAAATGATGCTGCCACTGGATGTCAGCAATCCTTCGGAGACAACGATGATCGAACACAGAGAGTCGTCTAACGTCCTCAACTCGGAGAGGCCAGGTTTCACAAGCATAGAGCAAAACTGCTCTCACCGACGCGTTGTAGATCCGACCTTTTACAGCCAGACTAACATCACGAAGGCGCCAAAGATGGCCCACATTGGCATAAGCCGCTCTGGCTTTCACTATTCCTGAACTGATCTCTTCATTCGTGCCACCACCAGCACTTATGCAGCTACCTAGATACACGAACTTCTCGACTACTTCTATCTGTTCACCATCCAGAGTGAGTACAGGATTAGAATCCTGCCAGTCTTGTAGGAGTACTTTGCACTTAGAAGGTGCAAAGCACATACCGTACCTACGGACACTGATTGCCAACTGATTAAGTGAGGATTGCATGGTTCGGGTATCATCGCACAGTAAGGCGATATCACCTGCATACTCAAGATCGAGAAGGCTTTCTCCGGGCAACAGATCCACATCGCTATTACTTACATCCATCAGAGCTGTTTCCAGAATGTCATCGTCGGCAAAGTTGGAGAGGAATGGTGCGATTGGGCAACACTGGCTAACCCCACTGCTCGAATGGAACAATGGAGAGAGGTGGTTGTATGCCATCACTCTGCCTGAGGTGTTTGTATATAAGGCTTTCAGGATGTTAATAAACTTCTCAGACACCCCCTTCGTCAATAGACAATCCCAGAGAACAGTTCTGTCCAACGAATCGATGTCAAGGTACACTACGATCGTTGGCCTCTGATAAGTATGGCGGTGTTCTAACATTTGGCGGAGGGTGAAGATATGATCAATACATCCTCGACCAGAACGAAACCCAGCCTGCTCCTCACCAGTCAATCATTCTCGGGTTTTGAACAACCTGCGAAGTATGACGGAAGCCAATAGCTTGGACGCAATCGGAAGTCGACTTATCCCCCGATAATCGTTACAGGAACGACGTGAACTCTTTTGAAAGATAGGGATAACTATCGACTCATTCCATGACGTTGGTACACTCTCTAGCTCCCACACCTTTGTAAACAACGTCGTCAGTTCCTTAGTCAAAAAGTCACCACCATCTTTAAAAAGAGCCGGAGGTAAGTCATCTGGGACAGGTGATTTGTAACGCTTCAAGAGTTGGAGTTCCTTGCGGACTTCCTCCTCGTTTGGTGGATCAGTCGTCACCGGCCATGGAGGGCAGGGCAGTCTGACCGATGTTGCCAGAGCAGCAGGCCAGTTGAACTGCCCTTCGAAAAATTCTGCCCATCGTCCAAGATGTCGATGGATGTTAGTGATTGGCATCCAATCATTCTCGCAGATTGTTTCGCTCACACCAGACTTCTTGCTGCCAGTGGCTCGGATGACTTGGAAGATCTTCCAACAACTGACTGTACCCACCATTTTTATGGCGTCGTGCAATTGCAACCAATGCTCATCTATACTTTTCGGTGGGATGGTATCTAGCCTAAAAGCTAGCTCGGTTTGATACTTACTTGCAACAGAAGTTGCAACTAATTTACTGACATCGATCCGCTTACAACGATCAATTCGTTGACCACTGAAAAGTAAGGTAAGATTGGCGCAGACCAAGGCATGATCAGAGTCCAGATATGTACTTCAAAAGGAGCGGCAGTCTTTTACACAACCACGCCAGCGGTAGCTGATCGCGATGTGATCAATCTGAGTCCAGGCTTGAGATGCAGAGGGAGGACGCCAGGCGGCACATCGGCGATGACTGTGCCGAAAGTTAGTGCTAGCCAGAAACAGGTTGTGGTCTGTGCAGTTGCAGTAGACGGTCCCCGTTATCTGACCTGCGACCAACGAGTCCCCATCGGCCACCTAAACGACTCTCTTCTGTGTCTAAGACGCCCGACTGAGCATCCAAGTCTCCGGCTATTACTACAATATCTATCGAACGCACTTTCTGGAGAAGAACAGATAACTGGTGGTAAAACTCATCCTTGATTGCATCCCGGCTGCAATCTGTCGGAGCATAGGCGGAGACGACGAAAAGACATCGTTTCTCACGCCGGTTTCTTCTCACTTTGATGGAACTTTCTAATCTAACAGCACATAACCGACTGTTAATGGGGACTAAATCAATTAGTGCTGCCTCAGCTCTAGCGCTTAGTGCGACACCAACGCCAGCAAGACCAGACGAAGATGCCACGGGGCCCCCGGATAGGCGCACGTAAAACAAGTCTTTCGAAGCGACAGATGGAGAGCGCATTTGTAGTACTTCACCAGAGTCTTGAATACGGGTCTCAGATAGACAGCAAACATCGATATTAAGACTTTCTAAAGACATAGCCAGCCCTATCTGTTGTCCGTCCTGCATAAGTGTGAGAACGTTGAAGGCAGCCAGTTTGAATGGTGCACGTAGTTTCAGAAAGACTGCTTCAGTACTCATATTCGGTGGTAACATACAATTTTCAACCGGACAGTGACTCGAAAACGTTTAGATAGAGTCGAATTTCCACCAAAGACGAGCTTCTGTATAAGTCAAAAAAATAAGTATAGACAGAGTAGGAATAAAATAGGGTGAATAATGTCGTAGTAAATAATAATAATAATAATAATAATAATAATAATAATAATAATAACAATAATAGTAATGATAATAATTTGATTGTTATTCGAAGCGAGAAAAGCAGTTTCCATAGATATAGAGAGTTCATCATAATTGTGAGTGGGCTGCGATACTGCCCGGGTGCCCAGACCGAAGCAGGTGGTTACCTTAGGGGGCCACACCCCGAGCCTTTGACCTAAAGGTCTAACCCACAAGGCAGTGGAGCATCGTAAGGAGATGCAGTCCCATGGTAGCCGGTGACCAACGATTGGTCCATACGCCATTTGTTCCCATAGGATACTAGAGCCCATGTACACCATTGGTTTGGGATCCGGTTAAAGCGCCGGACATTCGCTTTTCGTCCTCTCATTTCTGTAAACAACACCCCCGCCACAAGAAGGCAGTGAGTAGGACTTCCCTGGCAGAGGCTATATACGCGTGGCCATGTGAGAGTATTTCGAGAGGGAGGGCGGACCCACCCCGCTCTCGGCCATACCAGGGCATTGTTTAAAAAGCAACTTTAGAGGCGAAAATGAATCATCAATAAACTAGATAGTCAAAAGATAAATCATACAATGTCGTTACACAACAGTCACTAATGCATTTTAAAGACTTTACTATTATTATATAATATTATATTATAATATCATATGAATTTATTTCTAAAGGCCGAAATATTACTCAATGGGGAAATAAGGTGTGATGCATGTTCAGACTTTTCTCTACCAACAAAAAACGAGTATTTCATAGATAAAATCAAATACCTTAAATTATTTAGTGAGAATGTGATGTGGGCAAGGTGAAAGCTTACCTGAGTGATTTCCATGACTTTAAATCCAATTCTCTACTAATTTGGGCTTCACGTTGAGAAGTAAAGTTCTTCAGAGCGAACATCAAACCTTCGTCTTCATCCCACGAATCCAAGTCCCCGGAGTCCTCAATTTTCGACGATTTACGGATAACTTTTTCCTATGGTAGAATTTAAAAAGCCGTCACTGATGTTCGGTCTTATAATTTGGATTCAAAAAACAGGTGTCGAAGAATTAGGCGACGTAAAAACATATTCATGACATGAACAAATGAATAGTAATAGCTGCTTACCTCAGACATAAGAGGGCGCGACCACAGATAGTTTGTAAGAATTTTAGAACGATCTTCGATCGCCTTCGGGGGAGAAAGAGAATGCTCTCGGAGATAGTCGATAGCCACTGCATCTAGTCGAGCAGGTAGAGATATAGGAGGCAGCTGTAGATAACATGGAAGTTGCTTTAACCTTGAAGCCCAGGTTGTTGAACATTCATCAGAGTCTTTGTCACGTTTTCGAGAGTTCCGTGGGGGCGGTGTTGAGAAAGTTGATTGTAGCTCATCAGACGTACGATATCGTAAACTCCCATTAATTAAACGGCCAGTGAAATCAACCACAGATTTCCCACGAGGGGCCTAAACGATTTTCATTTCATGGATAACACAGAGCATACTCAGATATATGACTTAAAATTTACGTATTTACGACAAATAAAAAGTTTGTTTAGAGAACCGATAAAGTTTTGAATTAGATGATAAAAACTTATGGGCTTCATGTATAATTTAGTTAAATTCACTATTAATTTGTGGTTCACTTTAGTCTCATGGTTATGATGTGCTCGAATCACTTAGTGCCAAACAATTTAAATTGATTAAAAACAATCAAAGCAACCGATTAAACAGAGCCAAAGGATAATCAGGATAAGATTTTAAATTGATGATGAAATAAGTAGGAAACTTAAGTAGACTGATAAAAATATTCTCCAAATATTCGGAAGAGCACTTTAGGTCCAGTAAGTTTGGGAAGGACGACTCAAATGTCAAGATTAAGTAAGAAAATGTATCAAAGAGAAAGAGATAATACCAGGGCAGTCAAACCAAGGTATTACATAAAACTCGTTGAAAAACCCTTGTCTAAGCCACACAGAGAAATGAGAACTTGAATGGACCATGGACAGATTTTGGGACAGTTGGGTATAGGTTCTAAAACACTAAGCAAAAGCCAAGAAATCTCCTTTGACAAACTTAAAAGGACCAATAACTTACACACAGATGAAGACTAGTAAGTGTGCATGCAGCTTAGTTGATATTTAGGAAAGTCAGTAAAGAAACGACAGAGGTTATGATCTGCTACAACATCAAGGATATGTGGGGTTGTTATATATTATATACTATGAAAACTTAAGGGGTCGTAAGTGCATATCTGGTACTTCTAAATTTTATTCAGAAGGCGAAGAACTCACTAATTAAGAGAACCACACGATATAAAGAAGTCAGCACAAATTTAGTTACACTAATAAATGAGAATGGTATTAATTGAAAACAGAAAATAAATAGAGTGAGTTAATTAAGATTTATAAGAGAAAACTTTTTTAGTTTTATACTATCAGTGGTCACCAACCACCGGTCTTTATCATCCCTAAATCAAATGAGCGATTTTAGAGCTCGTGTCGTACATAACGTTGATTTTTTCGACTGTGTTCTGCTTTCGCCTGCATTGTAGGTCTCGGTAGGTTGTAGAGTTATATGTTACACATGAGTAGTTCACTTAAAGTATTTTTGCAAACTTATTGACTGATTTTACTTCCAGTTCACTCGGTGGTCTTCCCAAATACGATGAGTGATTAAGAGACATGTATGGTGTCATTAATATTATGACAATTGAACTAAGTCAAGTACATGTTAGTGCGCAAGACTTTGAGAGATAGTAGAAGTGCTAATAATATTAGCTGGCTGCTTGAATCAAAGATGATGCAGACTTAAAAATTCCCGGCTGATAATTAAATAGTTATCCATTAAAGTACCTCTTCAATGAAAGATACATCTGAACTTATATGGTTATAACATGACAATGAGAGATATGTTAAAAAGGAAAACTGATACGAAACATATTCAACTGTTGCTAATGAGCTGATGGGTGTGGTATTCCGTAGATACGTTCCAAGGACTTATTTCTCGCTTAAATTCTTTACAAGGCTGATAAACTAACGTGTAGGAAGCATACTGAGTATAAGAAATAACATCAGTCTAAGTAAAATGTCGTGGTTAAGTAATTCTACATTTCTACGATGCATCTTGATTCAGTTATGTTTACTAACTAGTAGTCATCAACCAGGATAAGTATTAGCCTGCAGTTAGGAAAGTGAACATATCTTAGAAATTTCACAAAATCAGTTGATAAAGCCGCAAAAAGGCTCAATAATAGTTAGTTTCTATAATCAATAATTAAACGTCCTTTGTTTAGCAAGAATTTTAGTGCCGGTTTTCGTAATTATAAAACAGAAACCAACTATTTGCCATTTGAATCATCTGGTACTGTGATTAAACTAAGTAGCGGATAAACTACAAAATCATCAGGCTTCCAAGCACACCCAAAATAAAAATTCGTGAAATATATGGAAGCTTCATCAGAACCCCAGCAACAAAGACCTTGTTTCGAACCAATTTTCTTACGATCGACTAATGGCGACCAATACTGCATTAATAATCAAAAACTGTCTTCATGGTGAGGAAAAAATGTTAATTATACATCTTACTGCAGCAAAAGACGTTTCGTCATGCTTTTGGCTCATATGCAGATACGAGTCGTCACCATATGCTTGGTGTAATCCTTTTATTTTGAAAACACCTAATGGAGTCCTTTTAGGTAACATTTTCAGTAAAAATATGATCTAAAAAATGAGAGGTTCACATATCGTGAACGACAATATGGTTGAGAAACAAAAGATAAACTATGATTATGTCGCCCCCTTATGTGATGAACACTAGAACACTTTAATGAACACAAGTTGGATGATGTTAAACCGCAAAAGGCTAACCACAAATAGGATGTAAATCGTCACAGGTAACTGTGTATTCAATACAGGTCAGTGTAAATCATCACAACTGAAATTTTGTAGTGACAGTAATTACAAAAAGCAATCGGACAATTAACACAATGCAACGGACAACAATCTATTTATGAAAAGAAGGGTGAGGGAACGTCTTAATTGAATTTTCTTCAGTGCCAAACGGGAGAAGTTGAAATCACCGCTCCACCTCAGCAACCTTGAACTGATTGGCTCAAAGTTGTCATTTCATTTTTGAATTGCCTAATGTCGGTGGCCTCTTTGTAGGATAGCTGAACTTAGTATTATGTGAGCTTTAAGGAGACTTCTACATCCCAGAAAATGCCGAATAACAAATAGCCATGTGCATCATATGTTTTGCCTGTCTTTCAGTTGATGAAAGCCTCTGCGTTGTGCCTTTCAGTTTTCGGCTTATGGCTAGCAATTGGTGAGCTTGTATATTTCGTCGTTCTCAGACTATCACAATCTTTTCTCCGTGTATTATGTAGTAATAGTGCGTTAAGTACTTCTAAGACTACATTGACCGACCTAACTGATACTTCTCAGTAAGCCATCCTATCTCTGGGGTTTTTGACATAGAAGGAATCAGAAATTGCATAGAAAGTGTAAGAAAGGCATAGTTCTGGTAATTTCAGATGACATGTACTGATGAAGTCTACGTACAAATTAAGTAGTCCTTTTTCCTGTGAAGTCTCAATAATAATTACACGCAGATGCTGTCTCCAGGACAACATGCGTGTACAGGTAATTATCATTACCAGTGTGTGATGTGACTTCCATGTAAGATCTTCGAGATTGGGCAGTTACATCATAACAAATTTAAAATTTTAGTATTAGGTCTATTATTAGAGCGGTACTGATAAAGTAGACCATAATTCTACGGATGTATTTCATCATTAATTGAAAAGTGGTTCATGCTGCGTTTTCACAAGTTGACGGCTGAATGAGTTGCCTTTCGTTTGTTTCGCCCTTAGGTATAACGTACTCGCATAGACGACAACCATGATTGCTGGCAGTATTTTGTAAAATTCTTTTCCTTGGAACATTATAAAGTGGCGTACTTTCAATTTATGAGTAGGCGGTTTCGAAGCGATGGACTTGAAGCATATTCGGTCAACTGTTGAGAAGTTAGTTGCAGGGCCCGACCAACGGTAATTGGAACCTAGCTCACGTGCATTCTTGTCATCTAGCCGCCGTACCATAATCTCATAAGGCTTTCCCTCTAACCAGTTTACGCTGTTGGACTTCAGAAGATACAAGGTTAGTGATGTCTCTCTTTTCTTGCTACTATTAGATTAGAAACAGCATCCGTGTTTAGGTAACGTGACTTTTGCGACCAAACACCGCGCTCAGAAAGCAGGACCTAAATGAGTGCATATAATAAATGACTTTTATGTGGCGTCAGTTGAATATCTGTAATGCCTTTTGTTGGAGAGAATATTAAATCTCCAGCTTGAGAAATATCAAATGGTAATGAAGATAATATGGACTGATCTATCCCCATGGTGGCCTGGAAATAATATTGATAGATATATTTCAGTATAAAGTCCAGTGAAAAAGTAAACGGTACGGTTAATAAGTACAATCATTACAAACCAAGGACCGATCGATTCTTGGTTATGTGACAGTATCTCGAGATACTGTAACATAATTTCCGTAATTGAAAGTATCCTATGTTTTTATCAGTACCTCAACACATCGTCCCATACAACAGCAAGTCAAATTTTCTACGTCTAAAATAATAAAAACAAGTCACAAACATAGAAACAAGAGATTTTCGTGTCAGCCAGTATCACATGAAGAAATAAATATTAATCGATAAGGAAGGACAATGCTATTTAAAGAAGCTTCCTTTAATATAGTCAAATGTTAAGTGGTTTTATGTGCTGAAGTGAATAACTCAGCCAGAAATGTAAAAGCGGTCTCCATATTTTGAAAATGCGTCAAGAAAAGGAATGCTTAAAGAATTAACTCAAACAAAGCAAAACATATGACTTATTTATGTAACATATGGTTTTTTTATAACACCAGCGGTAGGCTACAGAATTTCGAATGAACTCCTGACAATAATTGGTTTAATGTGAGCGTAGCCGTGAGAGTCATGTCGTCAACCCAATGTTCTGATTACCTAGCGGATCACTTATAAAATGAGTTTGAAATTAGGTATGCGCAATCAATGCAGTTATTATATTAACAGTGCAGGTAATCTACTGTACGATATTTTCAGTTAATTAAGTG